ATCCCTTAGCCAATCCTATAACCCTTGGGGTTGATTGGAAGATGGGTATTGCAGCTAAAGATTGGGACTCTGTTGCTAAAAAGGAAAAGATCGAGGCAAGTCTTCTTTCAACATCTATGTAAACATCTTTTTTCCTCTTCTTCTTTCTGATGTGAAAACTCAACTGTTGTCAACGTGTATTTGCAGGGTGTTGAGCTTCAGTTGAGGAGACTTGAAGGGTTAGTGCAGTCGATTCGTGAGAACATAAACTACATAAAAGACAGGTACGTGTCTTTCGCCTCGTTGCAATCAAATTGGGTATGAATTGGGATAACAACATAGTGATAAAAAGAAAATTTTGGATGCAGGGAAGCGGAGATGCGAGAAGTGAGTGAAACAACCAACTCAAGAGTGGCTTGGTTCAGTATAATGTCACTCGGGGTTTGCGTTGTGGTTGCAGGTACACAGATATTGTATCTGAAGCGGTATTTCCACAAGAAGAAACTCATCTAAAACTTGGCCTGAAGGATACTTACTATATAGTAGTAACATCACACATCCCTACCTTGAAAAGAGGGATAAGCTCAAGATTGTAGAGTCAATTGGTTAAAATCGAAGAACGCCATTTTCATTTATATTTACTGTGAAACTTTACTACTGTCGATAGTTAGAGATCATTGAGTTTGTGCACAGTCACTTTTGTGTTTTGATTGATCTCTGGAGTTAGAAAAAAATACAAGTAATGTGACAATGTACCAAAATTTCTTTATTTCTCAGGCATTTTGCGGTAATTTTAGTATCCGAAATATCCAATATGATTAATGGCGCTATTAAATCAAAGATTAAAATGACGTGAAACAAAAAATCAAGATTAAAGTAAAATAAAACTGGGTGGTGTCGTAATTCTTGCAAAGACGACAAATCTGATTTATCATGTAGACAACTTATTGTATGTTATGTCGTTTTCTATCATGTGTGGGAACAGTTAGACATCAGATCGAACATATATATAAATGTGTTTATTCATAATGGAAGAACCAAATACATTTGGTTAGGTCATCTAAGCATTCACCACTAGTTTATTGACAACATTTTGTGCAAAACATTTATAAGTGAATTTTAAATTGCCTAGTTAAGGTAAAATATTTATATTTTTTTGATATTTTTCTCTCTTTCTGAATTAAAATTCTACTGTTGTATTGCTGATACCATCATCGTGCTTACCTATGCAATGGATCTCTCTTGAATAACAAATTAAATATGAAAAGTTAATGCGATGAGAAATAATAAAAGTTGGAATATGTATATTAATTAAAAAAATGAAGAGGTGTAATCCATTAGCCCAAGTTATGGAAGATGGAAGTCCAAGCATGAATCCAACCAAAGTCCTTTCACTTTTGCCTATCTCTTAATTCTTTCGTACGTCATCGTACGAACCTCACACTTACCATTACCCTTAATCACTTTCACTTGTTCGCAAGGTAAATTTTCTGTTTTGACATTGTTTATTACCATTACGCCATTACTATTAATCACTTTCAATTGTTTGGAATTGATGATTTATATTACTTTTTGTCGTTACTATTAAATTTCTCGTATTTTCTTTTGTTTATGAGTTTACACATTCAAAAAATAAGAATTAAATTTTAATCTTGAGTAGGGCTTTCGACAATGGTGGACATGCCATTATATATATATATTAATAAAGAAAAAAATCATACATTCAAGATTGAAACAAGAGACATCTAAAAAATTTAGACTCATGGTCTTGTGTGGGAAACAATCATGTGGGGTGACGTGACTCCCCTATAGGCAACAAAGGTTAGAGCATTCTCATTGAGGGTTTTTAAGAAAGTCTCTCAACAATTATAAAATAAAAAACAACTGCAAATAATAATAATTTATGATTTGAGTCTTTCAAAAAGTGAGAGACCTACTCAAAAATCCCTCATTTGAGATACTTTTGAGTTTTGATTGAGTTTCTCGCATTTTAAGAGAATTAGATCACAAAACGCTATTATTTATTAAAATATACTTGTTAAAAGATATATGTGAGAGGGGGCTCTCTTAGGTTCGATGGTGAGCAAACTTTTCTAAAGTGTTTGATCAACTAAGTACATGACAAGTTCCTTAGAGCATGTGCAATGCAATGAGAGTCTCTCACGTAAAAAAGAAATAATAAAATAATAAAAAGTATTATTTAATGATCTAAAAAAAGTGATAGAGTCTATCAAGTGAGATACTCTCATAATTAAATAATACTTCTTATTATTTATTATACTTTTTATTATTTTATTATTTATTTTATTATTTATTCTTTACATGAGAGATTTGGATGAGAGATTCCATTGCACATGCTCTTTAACTCCAACAACAGATAATAGATAGAGATAAATGTTTTGGGTTAGAATGTTTAATACTTATCTTTAAAACAGTAGAAATGTATCCAAGCAAACAGTGATTAGTTACTTAATTATTCTCTGATTATGTTAATAAGTTATAAGATTCCACTCCCAATTGGCAATGGAAACGAACAAAAATCCAATTGGCTGGTAATGCGTTTCATACCACGTCATCGTTGTTAGTGACGCAAACTCACAAAGTGTGAGAATTAATATCTATAGATTAGCAGATAGCCTTGCAAAGGCTTCCTTAAGAACCCTTGTTGCCGAGACTTAGTTTTAATGAAATTTCACCCTTTTGCCCCAAAAAAAAAAAAAGATTCGCAGAAATTAATGAACCACGAAAGTAATTTATTCTCGATACCATCATTTCAATTTTGTATAGCAAGTAAAATCCTTGCATAATTTTTCCTTTTTTAATATTTACTTGAGTATATTTCGATTGGTTATATTTCTATACAGATGTTGATATAAGATCTTTATAAGCTATTAGCAAAACTTCTATGATGATCCTTTACTCCTTTAGGAACTAACGATGAATTAATGACAATTGAAAAAGTACATCATTATGTAAACTCCTAAAATAGTAACACATGCTAGAATCAAACTTTATAATAAATGTGAAATGATAGTCGATGCCCGTATATATATTATTAGGTGAAATAATAAGTCGCATCCAACGATAGATAAGATATGTTCGAATAAATTTCGTCAACTGAGAGGGAACATAATAAGAAGCAGCATCTAATAACGTGGAAGATTGATGCCATGCTTAATTAGGCTAAACAAGAGAACACAGATGTGTAGTCCCTTTAACGTTATGTTTCTGACTTCTTCTTTTTTTTTTTCTAGCTATATATATACTAATAGTTTGTCATATATTGATATATATGTATATGTGAAGTTGTGAACTAATCTCAAACTTAATCAAGCACGCATTGAGCACTCACACGCATTTTGGTTGATAAGTGAGCAGAATTGATGATTGATAGGCGACTTAACGAGTTTAGATAATTACTGACGTGCCGAATACTCATAAAATAAAATTTTCCAAAACAATTAGTAGATTAGCGGTTATAAGTTGAAAACCAGTTTTCATGTTTTCAGTTCACTAGAAAAACAATATATTGTATACAGTTTTTTTTTTCTTCTCTAATGTCGTAAAACCAATTATATTTTTTGGCCATGTAGAAATAAAACAAGTGTTTGGATTACATATTTTTTTGCATGCATATACGTTTTGTTTATAATATTTTTAGGAACATAGAAGAATCCAATCTTAAAAACGATCTACAAATCTTTAATTCAATATGAATATAAAACGGAACAACAAAAGTAGGCAGCCTTAACTGATGACGAAACGAAGAGCACTAGTAGCCGCGTCGCATTAGAATTTAGAAGGACCTAACCACGCTTGTCGTTTCGTGGGACGAATCACAACAAAAATGTATTACAAAAATCACATTTATTTTGCTTTTTGCTTCACTAATTTAGTGTTTATTTTCTTATGATAATTGTTTATAGCTAGTCTTGATTACCGTACAAAACGTGGTTCAGTTTACTCCTACCAGTTAATACGAAATTTGCAAACATCATCTGTCATATATAGTATATAGTGCTGCTGCCAATTATATATTGAAGAACATAGTCTACTTTGGAATGTTTACTACTTCGATAATTTGATACTCCTTCCGTTTCGATTTACTTGTCGTTTTAGCGTTAAAATTTTGTTTCATAATAGTTGTCGTTTTAGGTTTTCGATGCAAATGTTTGGTGAAAATTTCAGTTTTATCCCTACTGTTTTAATGTTTCGGCCAATGAATTTTTTTACAAAATATATTAATAAAGGGTTAAACAAAAAATTTAATATTTTTCTTAATTTGTGTGAGAAAACCTTAAACGACAACTAAAACGAAACGGAGGGAGTATAAGTTTGTGTGCCTTAGTTCAGTCTCTTGAAATCAATACAATAGTTTCGTTCTAAATACTTCCTCTGTTCCTAGATATTTGATGTTTTGGGTTTTTCTTTTTTGTTCTAAAAAGATTAATGTTTTGTAATATCATCACTACTATTTTTGTTTGTGACCAATAGAGAAAGGAGAAAAGTGAGATTAATATTATTAAACTAATAATAAAACAATAAAAATTATAAAAATAACTTTTTCTTAATTAGAGTGTAAAACTCAAAACATCATTGTCGTAGGAACATAGAGAATAGTAAATGGTAACATTCAAATCAGACAAAAAATGATAAATTTTGACGGTATGATAATGGTTTGTCATTATGTATAACTGACTCTATAATAAGTAATAACTTGATAATGGAGATTACTTTGTTTTTTTTTTTTTTTTGGTTAGAAGGAAATTACTTTGTTGTTTAATTAACTAGTGGTAGGAATGCCTACAAAAAAAAAACTAGTGGTACACACATTTGAATTTTAAGATTAATTAAGATTCTCGATTATTTTTTTAAAAAGATCCTCGATTATTTTTTTTAATTAAAAAAAAACAAAAATTATGAAAGAAAAAAACAAAAAAATTTAAGTAAATGTAGATCGTGATGAAAATTTAAGTTTCGGCTTCTTTCAGTTTATACATTTTTCACGGCGAAAAAAAAAAAAAAAAAAAAGATATACTTTTTTCACACACCAGTTTTTAAGCAATAGCAAAACTAAAAAAAAGTCAGCCAGCTAGAATTAATCAGTGATCATCCAAACTGTTAAAAACGGCCAAATCAAATTAAAAAAAAAAATCGATTATTATTGACAGTCTTTGTGATCTTATTGGTTACGTTATAGTCACCTGTGCACTCCACCTATATTAGTACTTCGTCTCCAAATGTGGTACGAACTAACTTGAAATTAGCCTATTGAATTTATTAGAATTGATAAATCTTTGGACGAGATGGTGTCCACTCTTCAAATCACCACAATGTTCCCTATCTATTTTCGGCGACAAGTTGAATAGGACTATGCACTAAACTTAAACATCATTCGCTTCTACACTAATATTAAACTATAATATATAATCAGCTATCTGATCGGCTAAAATTCAATACTTTTGGGTTCTTTATCTACACGAGTACACGACACAACGGATCATTCACATACGGCCGCTCATAAAATGAATTCGTAAGTCCACGAAAACCTTAATAAACTATTTGAAAATGAAAGAGTCATGTGTCCGTCAATTCTAGTACTTCTCTATTCTGATTTTTTTGCACATATATATTCGTGGTTAAAAGTTGTTGATGCTACATAATGATAATCACCCACGTTACTCATATGAATAATAAACAAGTTGCATATTTTTTTTTTTTTTTGTTAGTTCAATGCATGCATAATGATTTATAAGTATACACACATATGTAACAATCTTTAACAAAAAAAACGAATATATATATATAACAAGAGGTGAATAGTTTCGTGAATATTCAGGTTGATACTAAGTTCTCTTTTTGTGGATTCGACAAGTGTGATGAGTGGATAAAAAATTGGATGACGTCTTGAGTGGATTGTATATGTACAAATATATAATGTAAGTGTATACTTTTTGATTCTTCGAAACTATTTGGTTACAGCTTTCGGATATACATGGTTCGGCTTGGACGTAAAAGTCTATATATAATTTGGTACATATTGATACGTTTACATATATACTTTTTATTGGTACGATACTTTATGATTCGTTATCAATAAATTAATACCACATTGACGAGAACATTCTCATCAGTGATCGTAGATTAATAATCTAGCCATCTTATTTATCAGAATATATAATCCAAAAAATGCGACATTATTTTCCATACGCAAGTGTTTACAACCAATAGTCCAATATATAAATTAATTAAGTAGGTATGTAATGTAACCAACGAAATTACGACCTAATCCAGTTTTGATTACCTAGAACAAGACTAGTTAGCCACACATAATGGATACGTACTCGATAACAATAAAAAATATATATTTTTAAAAGTGATGCTTAAATAACCAATGGATTGAAATATGCACTCGTATATTGCTTTTTGTGTCAGCACAATTTGGCTATATAAGCAAGTACCCTCTTGTAGTGTATAATCATTCACAGTCATAACTATACACTTGAATACATCAAATACCAAGAAAGAGAAACTTAGAGAGAAAGAGATAACATGGCGAGTCAGAAAATGTGGGGAGGGTTAATGAACAGTGTGAAACCATACTTAGCAATGATATCTATGCAATTTGGTTATGCCGGTATGTACATAATTACCATGGTCTCTCTTAAGCATGGCATGAACCATTACGTCCTAGCCGTTTATCGCCATGCAATTGCCACTGCCGTCATCGCTCCGTTTGCTCTTTTTCATGAAAGGTATGGTTTTCATTAATTAATGATCATCACTAAAAGTTGGTGACGGCTCTTATCCATTTCGATTAAGAACACATAACCAGCCTGGTACATAACTACATATGAAATTATCGATGAGTGATACATATGAAACTATAAGTTTTTGTTATGTCTCATATAGATTGCTGTTTAACGTAAAACTTAAGAAGTATAAAAATCATGATTGACTGTAGCTAGCTACGTTGTACATATATAGAAGCTTCAGTTTACACTAATTAATCAACGTAAGTAATTTTGTGTTATTGTTGATTATGCAGGAAAATAAGGCCCAAGATGACATTCCGAATATTTCTCCAAATTGCGCTGCTCGGTTTTATTGAGTAATACTCGTTAATTCTTCTCATATATCATTCACAAAAAAAAAAAAAAAAAAAACTATCGGAACAGTCTCCAATCCATATATATATGTTAATATAGTTAATGAAAATATTAATTAGATAGTTTTCTAAAATTTAATTAACGAGGGTCAATAAAATGACAGGCCGGTGCTGGATCAGAACCTCTACTACGTCGGGATGACTTACACGTCAGCAACTTTCGCTTCGGCTACCGCTAATGTCCTTCCGGCCATCACCTTCGTCTTGGCCATTATTTTCAGGTTTACGTTATTTCTTATTCTTATAAATTTATCAAACATTTTATGCCTCTGGAAACCCTTTGACAAAAATAAAAAACATTTTATACGGAATATATTTTTACTGTTTGATAAATTATGCGAAATATTTCTACTTTGATTCTTATCTTGGGAATATTTTTGTTGACTTTTCCCATACCGTGGGAACAAGATTAACGGAATCATAGGAAAACACAGTAGTATGTTCGTGGAACATGATACCACACTAATTAGATAATTTAACTACTTATACACTGAAAGAAATATACTGGGTGAGATCATCATTTCCACTTACGTAAGATGTCATTATAAGTCTATATGGAATCTATAGAACATTACTGTTTGTTACATGTAAATTTAATACAGTAATTAACGAATTTGATTTTTAATATATAAATTTCAGATTAGAGAGCGTGAACTTTAAGAAGGTACGAAGCATAGCCAAAGTTGTAGGAACGGTGATCACAGTCTCCGGAGCACTTCTCATGACTCTCTACAAAGGTCCAATAATTGACTTTATAAGATTCGGCGGTGGCGGAGGAGGAAGCAGTGACGGTGCCTCCCACAGTGGTGCATCAGCGGCGGCGTTGGACAAACACTGGATTCCGGGAACACTTATGCTGTTGGGAAGAACTTTTGGTTGGGCCGGTTTCTTCATTCTACAAGTGAGTTCCAATTAATTTACTTACAATTTTCGGTTTACTCATTTAACAATATGAAAAATAAAAAATCTAACCGGGTTTTGTCTTGTTATGGTAAAAACGCAGTCGTTTACACTGAAGAAGTATCCAGCTGAGCTGTCACTAACGACGTTAATATGTTTAATGGGAACTTTAGAAGGAACCGCCGTCTCATTGGTAACGGTACGTGACTTGAGTGCTTGGAAAATCGGCTTCGACTCTAATCTCTTCGCTGCTGCCTACTCCGTAAGAACAATTAACTAAATTTTAATTTTATATGATTAATGATGATAATTCATAATTGAAAGTTGTGTTAATTAATGAAGTAACTTAATGGTGATTAGGGGGTGATATGTTCGGGTGTGGCGTATTACGTGCAAGGAGTAGTAATGAGAGAAAGAGGACCAGTTTTTGTTGCGACATTTAATCCACTTTGTGTCGTTATAACTGCTGCTCTTGGTGTTGTTGTCTTGTCCGAAAGTATTCATCTCGGAAGGTATTTATTTTTCTTTCTAAAATTAGTAGTATTAAAAATTTTGGACCGAATTAATAAATAGTTTTCTACTAAATGTTTCCAGTGTGATTGGAACGTTATTTATAATCGTGGGCCTATACACTGTTGTATGGGGTAAAGGCAAAGACAAAAGAATGACGGATGATGACGAAAATTGCAAAGGACTTCCGATTAAAACTCCGGTTAAACAGGTAGATACCGGTAAAGGCTTAGCCGGAGAACTGGAGATGAAACCTAAGGAAGGTCAAGAGACTAAGGCTACTCAGGTTGAGATTTGAGGATGCTTATGTGATGATGGAGACATAAATCAGTGTTTCTTTCTTTGTATATTTAAGTTTATGTTTTTTGCTTTCCAAGGTTACAGAAAGATTTTGGCATATCAGATGTAATATGATGAGATGAATCAATCATCTTATAGTTTAACTAAAAGTTTTTGTGAGATATGCAACTTCAAATATTATCAAAGAGATCAATAACCAATGTTTTGGTTTTACTCATCAAGAATTTCACATAGGAGTTTCCAATGCGCGGAAAATAAACAATTGTTGTTGAATCAAGATGACAAATCAAGGGAAAAAGAAGCAATGGAGATGAGAAATGTGATAAAGAAGTAGCTAACTGAGGAGGCAGAAGCGATTGAGATGCTACCGGCTGGACCATTAGCGGGGTTACCTGGGACGGAATCACCGCCTGAAGGAAGCACAGATGATCTTGGTGAAGATGCTATGGATCCTGGACCATCAAAATCTGGTGAAGGTGCTGGTGCATACATTACATCCTTAGGAACAGTATCCGGTGGAGCTAGAAGCGGCGCAAATTGTTGAGGTCCTGCATTTTTACCATTGCACTTACATGAGACCAAATTCTAGTACCTGATTCTCCATTACAAAGATATTTTTGGTTAGATTGAACTTACCGGGACATCGGGGTTGAAGAGACCTGGTCAGCCTATAAACGAAAGAGAAAGAAATGTTAAATAGTTTGGAATCATTAGTTGGGCTATGTTGATAAGAGGAGAAGACAAAGTGAATGTATTTCTACTTACAAGGTCAATATAGTGCCGTTGGCAATACCATTGTAATCACAAGTTGTAACATTACAGCCAGCGCTACTCTGCTGCACCGTGATGTTACCAAGCATGAGGTTGCTGTTTCTACACTGCATACTTGAGCAAGAGACGGCTAGAGAAGCAGGCTCACAATACAAACTGCATCACATCACACACACACACACACACACACACCACAAGTGAGTAAAAATGCAATCAGAGATAATTTGATTAGTCATATCAAATAACATAGCTTAGATATTATTACTTGCGGCTCCCAAGCGCACAGCTGCATTGCACACAGTGGCCTGCAGCTAAAGCGTAGCTACCATTTGGAACAATCAATCCGAAATCCGATGCATATCTGGGGAACTTTGAAGCACAAGCTGAGAGAAGGTAAAAGACACAGAACCAAACATTAATAATCTGTTATTGCTACCTACCAAAAGAAAACACAGCCAAAAAAATACCACAAAGAGGGAAACTTTTGGTAGCTCAAACTCATATAATGCCAAAAACAATACCTTAATGAGAATCAAAACCCACAAAGCAATCAACCAGCAATGAAAGAAACAATCACAAGTCCACAAAGCTACCTCAAAATCCCAATTTGGCAACAGAAATTGACTGAAACTAACAATAGAAACCACTTCCCACTATATAAACCCTAAAGATAAAACTTCTAAACTAAATTTCAGCATTATAGGCCTGACCTGACAAAGGAACAGCGAGAATATCTCCAGAACTAACATCAGGAGCTCCCATAGCATTCACATTCATCAAATCAGTAATAGTAGTCGAATACCTCCTCGCAATTCCGACCAATGTATCAATCTCCCTCACAACATACGACATATAAACCGCCGGCAAAGAATTGTCGGTGCCATTGAAACAAGCGCAAGGCAAGGGGATAACAAGACTCGTCCCAACATCAAGCAACGACGGGTCATTCACCGAGTTAGCTTCCTGGATCTGCTCAGCAGAGACCAAACCTCCGTAAACAGAGTCAGCAATCGATCCTAGATTGTCGGAAGGTCGGGTTTTGTAATGGGTAGAGACAGATTTCCTGATTCCGTCGACGCAGGAGCAAGTGATTGGGATTTTGAGGAAGAGCTTTGAAGGAAGGATATGGTTTTCGACGTCTGGGTAAGAGATATCGATGGCGTTAGCTAAAAGGACTGAGATTGGGTCTACTTGGAAGAGAGATGCGACTTCTGAGACTTTGAGGTCGGTGTAGAGCGTGTAGCCGAGTAAAGAGTTGCAAGTGTCGTTGCTTGAGCAAGGCTCGATTGTTGATTTCGCTGTCGCTGTGAAGACGAGAGTCGAAGCTAGAATTAGAGAGACGAAGAAGAAGAAGATGGGTTTTTCTGGGTTTTTCATTTTAGTAGTTTAGGGTTTTACGAAATTCAAAATCTCGTAGGGTTTTCAATCTCTCTTAGAGGACAATGACAGAGAGAGTACAACGAACAGAGTAAGATTGGACTATGGAAGATGAAGCTGGAGATTTTTTTCAGGAGTTTGGTGTAGAGAAAGAGAGAATCTCTGGTTTTCTTCTAGAGAGAGAGAAGAAAAGTTTCCACTTTTTTTGAAATGGAGAGAGAGAGAAGAGAAGAGAGGAAGAAGGAGACAAGTGTGTTGTACAGAGTGAACAGAAAACGGTAGCTTTGCGATCTCCAAGACAGACATCTTTTTATGCTGTTATGACTGATTTACCCTTTACTCCTAACTCCTTTGACCGGTTTCAGATTACTGTAGCATGAAGATTTTTTGAAATTCATTTTTGGTAATGGAAGGATATGGCGGTAAATTCGTTGAGGCCCACTTTAAAAAGGCCCATTTTTTACTTTTAGAGAAGCTAAAGCAACGAATTTTATGAGCTGTTTCGAGAGCTTAAAGATACATAATTCTTTTTCCCTTAAACACCGTCTTAAGCTCTTTCGTGTAATGTATTAAGGCAGGAAAATGGAACATTCTTTCCCTATTATATATTGTCTATTTTGGTCTTCTTTGAAAATTTATCATGTATTAAGTCTGATGTTAGAATGATTGGCCAAGAAGAATTGGAAGCATAAATTGGAAGCAAAAATTAAAAGCTGAGGTAAGTCAAATCACTACCATAATTGAATACAAAATGGGCCTGCTTTAAGTATCATTGTGGTCATCTCTGAGTTGGTTCTATTATATGGGATTCAATTTATGTGTAGTAGCTCTTCTTTAGGTTTCAGAATGTATTGATTGATGTAAGTAGCAGGAAGGAAGAGTAACTAACCACATACAATGGTACTTTTTTTCTCTCTAATTTCTCTGGTTTCAAGTAAAAAGAAACACATAGTTAAACTAAAGTCACTTGGGGATGCTCAAGATCAAATCTAACTCCTTTATGTGAGTACTTCTCAGTCTGTAGAATTAACCTATGATACTCAAACTTTACTCTCTAGTTTATCATTAACAAGAGGAATCAGTTCCATCTTGTTCCTTGGGTTACGAGGAGTCCTGGGAGTTCCTGGTTGTTGCTGAGAAAGCATGTGCCTTACATAACCATAAAAGGTGCAGCCCACAAGTGTGATTCCGCATCCAACAGCATTCATCGGTGATATCGGGTTTTTGAATATCATCCATGATACCAACACAGCTACTGCAACCTGCAAATCACATACCATCCATCATACATATTGAGTCAAAGATTCATTTGTCTTGTAATAATCAGAAGAAAAATATTACTGTAATGTGGTTTAGAAATTTTTCATTCACCTTAAGGTTTCCAGCTACATTGAATGTGACTGCCGTTGTGGAGTGAATGACATAGAAGATGGAGAAGTTAAGACAGAAAGCTAGAACACCCGAGCTGAAAATAATGATGAGAGCCGACCATGGAGACGGGTGTGCTTCAAACCAATTCAAAATTCCATTGCCTTCAAGTAGAAATGCTGGTAATCCGAGAATCATGGTCGCAAAAGGCGCCATATAGTATACCGTGTTTATGCTACATAGAGAGACATGGCAATGAAGAGGACATAAACACTCAGTTCCATAAAATAGAAAAACAGAAAATCAAGAGTGCACAATTCACAATTGGACTATGAGAGCATGACATGAACAATACCGAGTCCAACAAGGCATGTCATTGAAACCAAATGTAAGTTTCATACTTTCAAGTTTAACACATATCATGTGAAATTGAAGATCAAAACCTCAGGAAACAGAACACTGACCTGTCAAATTTGTATCCATGAAGAAGAGATTCTGCAAGAATGGTCTTTGTAGAGGTAGCTAAACATCCAAACAAAGCAGCACAGAATCCAAACACATTAAAGCTAAGTTCTGTAATAGAAGTCAGAAGAATCCCTCCAACAATAGGCACCAACGACGCCCAAATACGCCATTCAAAATATTTCCTCCATACCAACCACTGTAACACCACTGCCCTCAAAAACCATTACACAAAAACCAATCAGAACATCAAAAAAAGATCACTGTTTTTTGCAAATTCTCAATCTTAAAAAACCCTAAACCTGTTGTTGCCGGAGTAAAAGATTTGATAGTCTGCATAAAAGAGACAGGAATATATCTAAGACTGATATTCCCCAACACAATGTTGATACAGAACACAAATGACATTGGAAAAATCCTCCTCCACCTATCTTCTGGATCAACCACAATCAAAGGTTTAATCTTCAAGACTTTGATCACAATGTAAGCTCCAATCGATGAACATATGAAATGAACACATGAAACTGACAATGGAAATTTGAAATCCAGTTTCTGCAAACAAGGAAAGGTACCAAATTTCAAACACAGATCAGATCAAACAAACTAAAGGCTAAGTCTTTAATGATGAAAGTAAGAGGCTTTAACCTGAAAGATCCATTTGTTCATGATGATAACAGTAACATTAAAACCCCACCATTGAAGAATCGATAACAGAGATCTGAACATACTCCATTGATGCCACAGACTTCCTTCCTCCATTATCACTCTTTATTAGAGCCGCGAATCAAGAAAACCCCAGAAATTTTTGATGGGTTTTGAGAAGTGAATCAGTGAGAAAGAAGAGAAGGATCTAAAAGATGAAACTTTTAGGAATGTTGCAAAGAAACCCTAATTAAAGCGCGAAGAGGAACAGAGTAACGGTAGCAGTTAATGCAAATATCGTTATGCTTATACAAGTTACCAATTTTAGTTGTTACATATATAAATGTAAATAATTTAGCTTTTTAACAAATCTTCTGTATATAAGTAAACATTGTTTAAGAAAAAGTAATTATGGAAGAAGGATAATTAAGTACTTAAAAATATTGATGGATACAATGATAAAAAAACATAAATATATAACTTATAATGCATAAAGAATGGTGATAATTTTTGTAATTTCGATCATTTACGGGTTACAGATCCAGCTAAATCGTCTGCAGAACCTTTTGATAGGACCACCATTACCTCGAGGGACGATGTATTGCTCACCGTTCATTGGATCACACATTATCTTGCAAGGATTGTCACAAATGGCTGGAGTCGCTTTTTTTGATGCTTTCATGCACACATTCACGACACAATCTTTGACACACACATCTATCGAGTTGGAATGAGCTGAAAACATCGTTGCAAATAAAATTGCAATTATCAATACACTGCAGATTTTCTTTGACATTGGAGCTGCCATGTCGTAAGTATCGTGAGTCTGCAAATCTTAAATTGTAATGTTTTTTGTTTTCTTTTTGTTGTGGTTTCGACCGAGATGATTTGGTGAGAATGTTGGGTTGACGTAGATGATTTATATAGTAAAAAATAGTTTGCTGATTTTAGAAGTAACAAAACTATTAGGAGGTCAACTTTTTTTTTTTTCGTTTCTTTTTCTTTGGTAAATATATCGATTGATTTCTGGACAACTTAAATGTGTTATACCGTTTTGGTCATCTAAACAACTATTTGCTATGCATAAATATAGTAACACTAATTGCTCATATTAAAAATATTAGCCAATACAACACATATCTTAGTGGCTGTTTAGCTCTTCAACTTGTAATGCCTACTCTTCATATCAATGATATTTACCGATTTAGCAAAAAAAAAAAAAAAAAAGTTTCCTCTTAAAATTCGTAACCACGTTTCGTTACGAAAATCGTAATATACACATGGTTACGAATTTGTAACTTTATCAATAACGGTATTAAAATACATCTATATTAAATGATGGCAGATTACATGTGCTGATGTAGTGATGTGCATGTTAACAAGGAATGGTTACCTTTTAATGTGACATATATGTGAAAAACAACATAATTGTTATGTACCTTTTTGTTTGGCGGCCAGATTAAAAATACTTTACGCCTAGGATGGCTTGATATAATGAAGAAAAGTTGTAAGTTGTAGAAAAAAGAATATATGAATTGGTTTTCTTCCTTATGATCTTTAAATGCAAATGCCTAGTTAGATAAATTACACAAATTATTCAAGCCTCATTAAACCGAACTACCTTGTATATTTATAGATTTTTTTTAATTAAGTAGTATTTTATGTAATTAAGAATTTTAAATAATTTTTGTAATTTAATGTTACTGGGTATGGTAACTGTAAATATTTTCTTTGAATCTCTCAAAATTTTGATGTTATCAAATCATGACTTCTAAAATCCAGTATCTTTTGGATTTTCATTAATTTGTCTATTTTGAAATTATTACTTTGGGAAACTAACTTATGATATTGTATCTTCATAGATTTGTCAAATCAAAACAAACAAATAAAGATATTTTAATTTTATTATAGGTGTGGAGAAAAAGAAAATTGTTTGACTGCATATTTTAGCATGTTATTTAACTTTGCAATCCATTAATATTTTTTTTCTCCCACACAACACATATATAAACGTTTTCACATCCTCTTTGTCAAAGATAAAAATGGAGGTCAAAAGCGTGAACACCACGGCGATGATACTTGGTCTATTGTTTCTAATCAGCTTCGTCGCTGCGGAAGATCCGTATAGATTCTTCGAATGGCACGTAACGTATGGTAACATATCTCCTCTCAACGTTGCACAACAGGTGCTTTATCTTTTAACCTTATCCCCACCAAATTAATTATTTGTTGGTTTGTTAATTGGATTTAAGTTTGTTTACCATTTTGTCTAGTAGGGTATATTGATCAATGGGAAGTTCCCAGGACCGGATATCGTCTCTGTTACCAATGATAATCTCATCATTAACGTATTTAACCATCTCGACGAATCTTTCCTTATATCATGGTATATATGTCTCCTTTTCCTCGAGAGTTAAGGTTTTCGTAAGGAAAACACATATTTGTATTTCATTTACATGCATCAAAATCATTTTAATTAACTATATGTCTTTGGTAGTTAGGATTATGATATACTCTGTTTGAGAATATAACTATACATTGATATGCGTATATTCTTAAACAGAGTATATCATAATCCTAACTAACCGTCTTCAAATTCATATATTAGATATATATGTCAGTTGCATCTATAAGTATATAAATCGTTCCATGATAGATACTAACGTGTTCTAACCAAAAAATTTGGGATCATATAATGCTTCAATCTAAATTTAGACGGTGTATTTGCATGGTGATTATACATTAAATTTTTAGGAGAGAATTCATTGTTCCTATTTGATGTCTTTTTGTAAAGGAGCGGGATTCGAAATTGGAGGAATTCATACCAGGACGGAGTGTACGGAACGACGTGCCCAATCCCGCCGGGAAAAAACTACACCTACGTTCTTCAGGTTAAAGATCAGATTGGAAGTTTCTACTACTTCCCCTCTCTCGGCTTTCACAAAGCCGCCGGTGGATTTGGAGCTATTCGTATCTCCAGCCGCCCCAAAATCCCCGTTCCATTCCCAGCTCCCGCTGATGATTACACCGTTCTCATCGGTGACTGGTACAAAACCAACCACAAGGTACAATTCTCCTCTTACGTATGACGCAAGGAAAGGGGGGAAATAGTAGGGCGATAAAATGATTATGTTTTGTTGACGGTTTAGAGAATGGGACAACGTGTTTGTATTTTGAACAAATTTGCAAAGCTGCATGCATGATGTATATATATACATAAACGTTGTTGCTTGTTGGAATTTTGAATTAAATATTATAATCTCTCCTTATAGGACTTGAGAGCACAACTCGATAATGGTGGAAAGCTTCCTTTACCAGATGGAATTCTCATCAATGGTCGCGGTAGTGGCGCCACCCTCAACATTGAACCAGGTTTTAATTTGCTCTTTCACTTTCTTTGTCTTGTTTATTGGTGATTCTCTGACTGCAGTGTTAATAAGTTATGATGTGAGTTTTTCTGTAGGTAAGACTTATAGACTGAGGATATCAAATGTTGGATTGCAAAACTCTCTCAACTTCCAAATCCAAAACCACATGATGAAGTTAGTTGAGGTCGAAGGGACACACACTATTCAGACTCCATTCTCTACGCTTGATGTCCACGTCGGTCAATCTTACTCGGTCCTTATAACAGCTGACCAGCCTGCAAAAGATTATTATATTGTGGTCTCTAGTAGGTTTACCTCCAAGATCCTTATCACCACCGGTGTTCTTCATTACAGTAATTCTGCTGGACCTGTTTCTGGACCTATTCCAGATGGACCAACTCAGTTGCCATGGTCTTTTGACCAAGCACGAGCCATCAAGTATTGTTTCATTCTTTCATTGACAATTACAATCTTTTAGTTACTTAGTGGTGCAACCGTGTTTGAGCGGGCTTGTTTGTGTCTTATAGGACCAACCTTACAGCGAGTGGACCAAGGCCAAACCCTCAAGGTTCATACCACTATGGCAAGATAAATATCACTCGAACAATCAGACTTGCTAACTCTGCTGGAAATATCAAAGGCAAGCAACGATACGCAGTGAATAGTGCATCATTTTACCCAGCAGACACCCCTTTGAAACTAGCGGACTACTTCAAAATTGCCGGTGTATACAATCCTGGAAGCATACCTGATCAGTCCACATATGGAGCAATATTCCCTGTTACATCAGTAATGCAAACTGATTACAAAACTTTTGTGGAGATTGTTTTCGAGAACTGGGAAGATATTGTCCAGACCTGGCACCTTGACGGTTACTCTTTCTACGTGGTTGGGTAAGTAAAACATTCATATTTGCATCCACAATATCCACACAGTAAAATTTGGTAGCATTCTCTAAACCAAGATAGAGTTCTTAAGAAAATCGAAAGTTGTGTACATTTTCAATATTTTTGACTAATGATACACTTGGTAACTATTAGAATGGAACTTGGGAAGTGGAGTGCTGCCAGTAGAAAAGTCTACAATCTAAACGACGCAGTCTCACGGTGCACTGTTCAGGTGAGAGTCCCTAAAGCCTTCTATATTTTGATCACACAGTTGGCCATAAAAGCTCAGAATGGGTTATACAAAAGGTGGATCATTGGATGAATTTGTGCAGGTGTATCCCAAATCATGGACTGCCATATACGTATCACTGGACAATGTAGGAATGTGGAACCTAAGATCAGAGTTATGGGAAAGACAATACCTGGGACAACAGTTCTACATGCGTGTTTACACAACCTCCACTTCCCTCAGAGATGAATACTTGATCCCGAAGAACGCTCTTCTCTGCGGCAGGGCCACTGGCCACCACACCACGGCGCCGCTGCAGTGAGTGAAGTGAGAGGTTTTGATAGATGATTGCAATGACTTTCTGAAAAACAATTCATATTTCCTTTTGGATTCTAGGTCACATATATTATATATATTGTTGATTAACAATAATTAATTAAAAACAGATTTGTCTACAAATACATAAATATGATCCAAATGAACAATTAACAATATGCACATAAACTACGAACAAGTATAATTTGAAGAACTAATCGATGTAAACTCAGTTCTTTCCATTGATGAGGAGGACAAACGAGGTTACATCATATGCTTCATCAAGAACAAAACAGTCTGGAAAACAAGTAACCGTGGCAACCTTGCACAACATCCAGCAAAGGAGAAGTCTGACATGCTTCGCTAGCTTCACGATCCATCCATTTCTCTAAAACTGTTTCAGCTACAATAGCAATGCGATGCTGCATCACCGAAGCACCCATCGGTCCCACTATGTTCAATCTCGTTGCAGCCGAGAGAACATCTCTAAGCGTTACAAACAGATACGCTCTCTGAGAAGTCTCGGGATCCATACCGAGTAGACCACATACAAGCCCGAATATCGGTGCATGGTGGAAATATACATTTTTGGAGCCCAAAGAAGCGTCACGAATCATCTTAAGATTTGGTATCTCAGTGAAAACTGAAGCAGCTATACGAAACAACGCTGATCCTTGCGAAACCGATGCCTTGGAAGAGACTTGGTTAGTTAAAGTAGCGTTAAGAATTCCATCAAGTTTGTGCCATGTCTCAATATCAGGAGATTTGAGAGCAGAGTAGACAAAAGGAAGCAATAAGCTGGCTGTGTTATCCAACAGATGAATGATATGAGTTTCTAAATCTTCAGGAGACGAAACTAACCGAGTCTGAACCGCTGCTTCGAGACCGAACGAATGAGCAAATCCTCCTGTTGGTAAAATTGAATCAAGTAATTGCCATTGACTCCACTGCATACAAGAAGCTGTTCTTGACATAACAATGTCGCTTCTTTCGTCTACTTCCATCAATTAGACCTCTTTCTATAAAGAAGTAAACACACAATGATGCATTACTATAGAGAAACCATCAGAGATTAAGCAATGTTTGAATGTGATTACCACAATTTATGAATGTGATTAAGCAATGTTTCAACCTAAAAAAGCGATTTTTAAATCGAAAACAGTGACTATATCAAGATTCTTCAGATAAAGTCGGATTCTTGATTCCAGTGAGCAAATTGATACATCCAAAAACATAGTATGCTCAACGAAATCCACAACGCAATCGACGGAAAAAAATATCTAAAGATCTGAATCCCTAACAAAATCGATTGAAAAATCCAGAACGTAATCGAATGAGGAAAGCTTTTTTGATTACCGAGAGTCGTCGAAGAAGAAGAGTGATAGAGAGAGATAGACTTCAGAGTCTCGACGGATACAGTGGCGGAGAGATATCTCCGGCGGAAGACGAAGGAACTAAACATTTATTAATTCAACTCGATTTGGTTTTTACGGTTCAATTCAAAACCAAATGAGAACCGACCGTTTTGCATCTAAACCGAACCAAACTGTTTTGCGGGTAATTTGTGATTGAACTGCAGATTTTTTTTTTAATTAAAAATTTGTTTGTCAATAAGTTTTGCAACAGTTGCTTGATGATGATTCCCAGTCATATTTTTATCCTTAGACCCTCTAAATTTTTTGCCCAAAAAAAAAAAAAAACCCTCTAAATTCAAGGCTGGAATTTGTACATCTTTATCGGTCGAGCCAAACGGTTATTAGGTCTTTGGACTCAAATGGTAATGTATGTATAAGGCCAATGTTTTGTTGACATAGACGCTTGTTTTTAATATGTATCAAAGAAAAGCAAGTATTTTTTTTTTTTATTTTTTTTTTTTTTTTTTTTTGAAAACGAAGAAAAGCAAGTATTTATTTCATAAGAACAATGAACATGTCGACTACTATAGTGATATCAAACAAACACATCACACATACATAGATATTTCTATGTTAGTCATGCAGAAAATAAAACAGGAGGAGTTTTCGTAATTCGGAACTAGCTAGCAATACTGAGGCATCCATCTACAGAACCTGGAGCTTCCCTTAACAGGAGGAACAATAAATTTTTCACCACCGAATAGTTGATTGTTGCAGATTTTCTTGCAAGCTTCATCACAAATTGCAGGAGTAGGGTTTTTCGCCGCTTTCAAGCACTGGTTCTGTGCGCAATGTTTCACACACATTTCTATACTGTTTGAGTGAGCAATGTGTGCTGAAAACATCATCGTCAATATAGCTACCATCAAGAAAACACTGCATGTTTGAGTCGCCATAACGTACGTTTTTAAGTACTAGTGATGTTATTACAACTTTTTTTGTACTCCCTGTTTATAATTGTGAAGAAGATGATTTGGTGGGTAATGTTGGGTTAGTCTTGGTGATTTATATAATGAAACTAATGTTGTCTATTTTTAGCAATTGTTTTATATTTGTTTCTTGTTTCTCTCTGTATATAGCCAACTAATTCTGTAGAGTTTAGTTGTGCTACCTTTACTATTTTAGTTGTCCAAACAAATTATTGCTATGAAAAAACAAATCATAGCTTGCAGATATATATACCCATATGCCATTTTGGTTTTATTTTGTAACCACATGTTGTTACGAATATTTATTTGTTGCAGCATAGATCTATTGGATTAAATCTATTAAATGGTTCAGTAATATATGTGGATATGAATACTGTAACGATTCCAAATCCAGATTAGTTAAATTTGGTTGCAGCATCTCTTAAGCTCAAAAGAGACATAATCGTAGGATCTCGATCGCTACTGTCGTCTCTTATCCTATTGATTTCTTGTCTTTCCCCATGTGAAGCTAAAAACTTTAATTGAAAACATAAACACTTAACAAAAAAGGATTTTTTTGGGGGTAAAAGACTAAAATTGAAAACAGAGAAGTGACCCACAAATTTGATACCCATACCATAAAATCCCATTATGGGAACATTACTTGAATCCTACCCAAAGATTCTCCATTCCTCCCATGTGATAATTCTTTTTTAGTTTTTGTTTTACTTCACTTTTTCTTATATAAAAAGGTCCTTTTTCTTTGTGTGTTCTATAGATAACCTTGTAGGACTACTTTCAGTCTTTCAAAATTGATAAGATCGTATAATTAATTACACGGATCTGAATAATGGCCATGTGAATATCTATCAAGAAGTGGACTGAACAAGACTTTTATCGAATTAACTGATATCTATGTATATTCTGGAGGAAAACGTATTTTGGACAAATGGTAGAATATCTAATAAGTCCAAGATCCAAAATAACATCTTTCAATCAACATTATAACATTTTTCTTTTGGATCAATGGATCAAACCACTCGGAACCACAAATCAATAGACAGGTAATTTTTTAAAATATAAAAAGCTAATTAGCTCTTATCTCTTAAACTAGATTAACAGCAACAAAAGCTAGTTTAAATCGAGATTTCTTTATTTTTCAATTTGTCATCCGACCGAACCGGTCCAAATTGGTTTGAAAAGCATTGTTATTTTTATTTTATTTTATATTAAGCATTGTTATTTAATTAAGTCATACACTAAAAGCTTTGATCATTGTGAGTATATAGTGTAAAGGAAGTATGTGGGATGGTCTAATTGAAAAAGTGATGATACATTGAAACTCATCACTACACATAACATATCACCTGTCAATGTCTCTCTAAGTGTTTGGGTCTTTAGCTCGTGATATTGAAGCCTGTCTTCTTCTTTTTATTTTTATTTTAGATCACGTGAACGCTCAAAGTTTTTGACCAACAAATAAAATGGACCCCTTTTATGTTCACATCCAGACCCCAACTTTATAAATTAGGTCAATCTAGCTCCCAAACTTTAATCATGATTTATTTACTTACTTATGATCCCATTTGTATAAGCACGTGATTTGAAGTTTGTGAAGACAAATAGAAGACTTATTTTGAGCAATTTTCAAGATGATTAGCAAATAGGGGGAAATTTCATCAAACCCTAAGCTAAATCTGATCTTTTGTTTCGCCCAAAGAAGAAAGAATTGCAGATGAAGCGATATAGTCTTGATAATGGAGAATTGCCCATGTGATGTGAGAGAGAGCCATTTAAAATTGAGAGGAAAACATAATAATTCTCATACGGAAATAAAATAAACATAATAATATATAACACATGAGTCTATCCATTAATTATCGATTATCTTGTTTATAATTTTTTTTATATAATTTTAAACTATCGATTATCTTGTTTGTTTCGAATTTAACATAAAAGATTAAAGTTTATGCGACCAACTTAGTGTTGGACTACTCGTGAGAAGTAAATCCCCTATACTCAACACTATAAATATCTTGGTTTAACCATAACATAACAACAACAACAAATTATGGATTCGATATAAAATATTTTAGACAATTGTTTCTGAATGTGAATAACTATAGGCCGAAATTTTGATCAAGTTGTAAGAAATAAAAACTTGAAGTGAAAACTTGAATGTGAATAACTATACACTAATTTTCTAGATTATGTCATTATCTGAAAACAATGATGTCAACAAAATCTACTAATTAAAATGAGCTTAATATTAATTAAAATCATGTCATATTAAATCATACCTAAAAGGCTTGTCTTTTTTTCTCTTTCTTTTTCTTCCGGCAACTAAAAGGCTTTATCTACTTGGAATTTTTGTGTTGTTAAAGTACTCGGAAACAATATGAAAAATATATAAATATATCCGACCTAAGCCCATCTCTTTGTTACATATCTTTATATATCTCTCTCTCTTTCCTCTCCCTCAATTCTCTTCTCCTCTCTTCGGAAGTGAAGATGGATATGTACAAAGATGATAGCTCACCATACTGTTATTTCCATCCAAAGGAAGAGTATGTTGGAGTTTGTCCTCTCTGTTTGAACGAGAGGCTTCTTGTTTTAGCTTCAAAACAGAGATCATCAAGAACCAAACACTCTTCCTCTTCACCAATCATCAGCCTCCCTAAGATCTTCGCCTTGAGCTCTCTCCTCAGTCGCCTCGATCTCCGTCACCGGAAATTCCATCCCTCCTCCGATCTTGACGTCTCCACAAGCCAAGAAGGTACACAATTTTTATAAATATCACTTTAATTATACACATATATTATACTTCATAATTCAAGATCTAATTCCAATTGGGTATTTTCCTTTTTTTCCCCTTGACATATGGGATTTTCCTTTTTCCAAATTAAGATTCTCAACTTCTCTCCCTCACAATATGTGTGTGTGGAATTATGAGATGATTTAATCCGTATTTGCAACCATATGTACATATTTCTTAGTAGAAACCCATTTATCAAATAAGGATACTATAGAAACATTCATATACACAATTATATTAGACTTTTTTATTATTCAAAATGAGTGAATAAAATGTTATTTTGAACAGCCAGCTGAAAATTTTGTTTTACTTGATATACGGCTAATTATCTTTTATAGTTGGTAAATAATGTAGTGTATATTATATCAATATAATATAATTAATGTACAAGATCAATTATGACTGAAATTTGAAAAGTTTTATATTTTGTTCAGATTCTTTTATATCGATAAAATTCGAAAACGATGGAAACGCGTCGTGGGAGAAGAAAGCAGTAGTGACAAAGGTTTGTGTAGACAACAAGAACAACACAACAAACTCAACATGCAAGAAGCAGCAATCTCCTATAACGAGCAATACCAGTATCGTAGAGCACAATAGTGCCAAGTCATCGCTTAGGTGGCGCAAACGTATTGGTCATCTCTTCCACGTCATCAAACTCAGATCAGGATCGTCCACGTCGTCTTGCCACGTGGCACCATCCAAGGTCGAAGGAGCCAAAGTGAGGAAACAGGGTTGGATGGTGAGGACCTTAACCAGAAGAAAATCCAGGAAAAGTAAAAGTTGAATTTTTCTTATAATTAATTTGATTACACTTTTAAGAATATTTTTCTACATATATATTTTTTTTTAGTTTAATTTTTGGTTTGGTCGTTTTTTCAATGATTGATGCTTCTGTTTGAAGAAGAATTATGTGGAAGTTTTTTTTGTAAGTAATGACGAGATATGAATTTAAAATCGATTGAACTATCCATAGATTAAATTATTGAGTTGATTAGATTTTTGTATGAAGATGTATTACATATAATAAGCAAATGTAAAGGGACAAGAGTCTTACCCTACACCATACCTCTTTGTAGGCATGTGGTCTGAATGTGTGATAAAGCCATTAAAAGATGGGAGAAGGGTCAAATTAGCCTTTTATCATTATTTCAATATGACAAAAGAGAAAGTTTTGAACAAAAAAGAAAAGAAAAAGGTATAATTAAAGAGAGCGAAGAAAACTAGAAAAGTGAATTGCTTTAATATAAATAATTTTGCATGGGATTCTTGAAATTTTTTCTATGACTATAGTGTTCTCACCTTAATTTCCTTTTTATTATTTTACAAAGAAAAGAAAATGAGAGTAGTACAAGTTATAATGCAAGAAGAAGAGTCCATGTTAGGTTGTTCACAATAGTGGGAAACATTTGAGCATAAAAAAGCATTGCCCCATTCACATTGTCATATAGTTGTCTCTTTTCTATATACATTGTATATTTTGAAATCCCAAATTTAAAGAATTTTTTTTTTTACGTATTATTAGAAATTATCGAGATTGTTATATAGCACATCCGTTTATGTTGGAGAGTTGTTCATATCATCTATATTTAAGTTTTACCAAGTTCATTTTGATTCGAACGGAATTGGTTAAAATGTTAAAATCAATAGTAGATTCATTTGACAACTGATTTTGATATTTGATCTTTATTGTGTTTGAGGTGACAACTCAAAGAAAAAAGTGGCTTTATTTTGTCTAAGTTCAAGCAAAAGTAAGGAAGCAATGTGACTCTCCTCCAAAGAAAATTATAAAAGAATTTATCAATGTGGTAAGACTGATGCAAAGGAAAACCTAATTTTTAGGTTAATAAAAGGACGAGTAGACATTTGTTTGTTTTGTGACTTTTGTCTACTCATTTTTTGCGTCCGTTTTTTTCAAAACTTTTCAAAATGTTTTGAAAAATCGAAACTTTAAACAGGTTTTAAAAAGTAAGTATATTAGCTCTCGAAACAAATTAAAACGAAGTTGGATTGTCAAGAATATCAAAGAGAAATAGTACGTAATTGAATGTTAAGTCGATTATTAGTTTTGTTGATTATAGTAATCAAGATTATTTGCCACCGTTTGACACATATTCTCCGATTTATGATATCAAATGTATGAGTGAAATTTATTAATAGTTTTTTTGCATGAATTTCGTAAAAAATTTTGTTTCTTTTGTCGAGAGCGTTGGCTGTAGGGTTAAACGGGACCATTTCAATAGATGATCGTATTCAAGATTAGGAGGAGGACCACCTCCTACCTATTTTTTTTAACCTAACATAAAAGATTTTGGAAAATTAGATGAAATTTTTATAAAATATCCCCATTTGTGTTGATCCAAAAAAATCTTAAATTAATTATCACAAAAAAAAAGAAACACCAAGACAAGGATCCTTGATCAAGACGTAAGCCCCAATGGTCTGCATATATATAGACATTATAGCCTATACGAAAATGCGAATCGTATAAAACGACATGGGGATGAAATTTAAAACATTTGATATATACAAAATATGAGATTTTACGACAATAATTTGATATTGAATGATAATGCATGGTCTATATCTATAAACGTAGGTCGTGGTGATTCATGAGTGACAATAACATGTGGGATTCAAATTTCAAAGTCTTGAACTAAAGAAAGTGACGTATACTTGGAACTACTATCATCAACTACAATATTCATCCAAATTTTATTAGACGATATATGTGTTTGTACTTTATTCATGTCATTTGTATGAATATTTATCCACTTAGCCAGCCCCGGCTCAGATAGGTAGGGCAGAGGTGCGACGGCCCGAGACTTTTTTTTTATAAAAAAATTTTACATATAAAAAAGGCCCAAATATTTTTTAAAAATATTATTAATATGAGAATTATATTTTAAGAGGCCTAATTATTTATAAGAAAATGTATAAAAAGGCCCAAAATTTTTAAAATAACAATTTTTACTATAAAAACTCCGTAAAATTTTTTAAAATTAAGTAAATTTTCTCTTTGTATATAATAATAGGCCAAAAAATTTTTTTTTGCCCTAAGGCTCTCAAATATATTGAGCCGGGGCTGCACTTAGCCCTCTGTTACTTACATAGCAACAACAGCAATTACACTAATATTGCTTTTTCTAATGGTAATTCCTTGAATTAATTTAATATTGTTGATCATAGTCGGGCCTTAAACTTTCCATACTGTATTTCGATAAATAGATGGTTATGTGAAATATGATAAATATCTCATTGGGCTTGAAACTTCTAGATTAATGGGCTTAAATTTTCTAAATTAATGGGCTTGGAAAATACAATATCTTATAGCAGCCCACAGATTTCATGGAACTAGAAAAAGGTTTTTCAAATTTGTATTGTATCATTAAATGCTGAAGAAAAAGTTAGATATACGATCTCATATTCTCCCTCTCTTCCTCTTTTGAAAACTGAAAAAAAAAAACCATTTCAAAATTGTAAAGAATTAACAACCACAAAAAGAAAGAAATTCTCCCTTTTTCTCCATGTTATTTATTCTTGATTTTGGAGACGAATCATATAAAGGGGTACATTAATTGCAGCTGCTTCTAGTCTGGTATCTTGTTTTCTTCTCAACTCTTTCTTCTAATGTTTTATAACAAATTGTTATTATAAGAAACACAAATATGTTGTTATAGTCCTTTTTTTAATGACATGTTATGAAGTGACTGATAAGTTCATTACCAGGTTGTGTTCTTCTGTGAATTGTTGTGGTCCAGTCCAGTAAGATAGTTTAAGATTGTTGTCAGAGTGTCTTGAAAGCAAAATCTGTGAAGCTGATAAGCCAAGTTACCTCTTTTTTTTTATATGTTTATTTCTCTGTTCTTAAGGTCCTTGAGTTTGTGATGTGATGATGACTGGTACTACTTTGATATTGGAACCAGCTATGGATTCCAAAGATGAGCTAGTGAAACAACATGCCAAAGTTGCAGAAGATGCTGTTGCTGGTAATTAGTCTTTCTCTTTGTTTTTTTAAGTCTGCATCTGGAGTTTGTATCTTCTAGTGAAAACATTTTATCTTGTGGTTTCTTAAGGGTGGGAGAAAGCTGAGAATGAAGTGGTTGAGCTGAAGCAAAAGCTCGAGGATGCGGTGGATAAGAACATTGTCTTGGAAGATAGGGTAAGTCATCTTGATGGGGCACTTAAGGAGTGTGTTAGACAACTAAGGCAGTTTAGAGATGAACAAGAGAAGAAAATTCAAGAAGCCGTGACTGAGAGTACCAAGGAGTTGCAATCTGCTAACACTGGTCTAGAGAGGCGAGTTCTTGAGCTCCAGAAGGAAGCAGAAGCTGCTAAATCCGAAATCATGATGATGAGACGCGAGTTTCTTAGACAGCGTGGAGAGCTTGAGATTGTTATGATTGAGAGGGATTTGAGCACTCAAGCAGCTGAAACTGCTAGTAAACAGCATTTAGATAGCATAAAGAAGGTGGCGAAACTCGAAGCTGAGTGCAGGAAGCTTAGGATTTTGGCTAAATCATCATCATCTAATCAATCCTTAGATAGTCATTCAGATGGAGGAAGGGAGAGAGTTGAGGGGAGTTGCTCTGATTCATGGGCATCATCAACATTTATTTCTGAGTTAGATCAATTCAAGAATGAAAAAGGCGGCGATAGAAGTCTTCAGGGAACTACTTCATCCACTGAAATTGATCTCATGGATGATTTCCTTGAGATGGAACGTCTTGTGGCTCTGCCTGCTGAGACACAACCTAAAAACTCCAAGACTGAATATGAAATGAGCTTAATGGAGAAGTTGGAGAAGATACAAACAGAAAAGGATGAGCTTGAAAGCGAAGTTAAATGTTGTAGAGAAGCGGAAAAGAGATCGAGATTAGAGCTTGAAGCTGTTGTTGGTGACAAAATGGAGTTGGAAGATATATTAAAGAAGATTGATGCTGAGAAAGCTGAACTAAAGATATCACTTCGAACATCTAGAGTTTGTTTTCAAGACGTTGAGATGAAATTGGAGAAGCTACAGGCAGAAAAGGATGAGCTTGAAAACGAAGTTCAAAGTTGTAGAGAAGCAGAGAAGAGATTGAGCTTAGAGCTCGAAGCTGCTATTTGTGATAAAATGGAGTTTGAAGTTATATTAAAGAAGACGGAAGCTGAGAAAGCTGAACTACAGATATCGTTTGACGTAATCAAACATAGATATCAAGAATCTAGAGATTGTTTTCAAGAAGTTGAGATGAAGATGAAAAAGCTACAAGCAGAAAAAGATGACTTTGAAACTGAAGTTGAATGTTGTCGAGAATCGGAAAAGAGATTGAACTTAGAGCTTGAAGCTATTGTCGGTCACAAAACGGAGTTGGAAGAGAAGTTGGAGAAGATGGAAGCTGAGAAAACTGAGCTAAAGATATCTTTTGACTTAATTAAAGATCAATATCAAGAATCTAGAGTTTGTTTTCAAGAAGTTGAGATGAAGTTGGAAGAGATCAAAAGGGAGCTTAAACTAGCTAATGAATCAAAAACACAAGCTGAATTTCAGTTCATCAGAATGGAAGCAGAGGTGAGAAAGGAGAGGTGTGTTTCTGATGAGCTGAGGGAAAAGTGTGAGGCTTTTGAAGAAGAGCTTAGAAGAGAGATAGAAGAGAAGACAATCATCAAGGGAGAAAAAATAGAACCAAAGATCAAACAGGTTCAGTTTTGTATTTTCTGATCACCCATTAGTCTTTTTTTTTTTCTTTCTCAATCCTTGTTTCACTAAAGTTGATTCTGTTGCAGGAAGACATAGCAACAGCTGCAGGAAAATTTGCAGATTGTCAGAAAACAATAGCATCACTAGGGAAACAGCTGCAATCCCTTGCAAAACTTGAAGATTTCTTGATGGATACAGCGAGCATTCCAGGTTCTGCAAGGTCAGTTCACAAGAAGGAAGTTTTTTTAGGAAAAGAACCTCATGAGTGCATCAAAACAACCAATGGAAGATCACTTGAATTTCTTGCAATCAAGAACAGCAACAACAATACCTCACCTCCTTGTTCATCTTCTTCTGATTCAACAACAGTGTCATTAATTATGACATCAAACCGAGGGAGTTCTGAGAAGAATCGCAATGGATTTGCCACGGTTTTCACTCGAAGTAGAAACGCAATACATTTGGGGATTTAGGAGAAGCTATACGTTCTTGCAGTAGCTAGAGTCTATCTTATGTTAAACCGGATTTTTACCATAAATTTCAGATTCTCACTTGTTAGTAGCAGAAAGATCACCCTTGTCTCTTCTGCTACTTAATGTAATCTTCTTAACGTTATATGTCTTGTGAGATTCATCTTTGTTATTTCATTTTTACCAATTTGATGGTCTCATATGATGTATTATGGTTACTTAATTGCCGGACAAGTAAAATATTGTTTTTGGTTCTACCCTCCAGGTTAGATAAAGACAAAGAAGACTGCAACTGTGGTTCTGATGTTGAATCTATTCACTGGTTGTGTCTAAAAACAATTTTTTAGATTAGGTTCTAAAATGGTACATGCAACAGAACAGGCACCTGAGGTTCTATGGTGTAGTGGTTAGCACTCTGGACTTTGAATTCGACTCCCGGTAGGACCTCTCCTGCGCCTGCATTTTTTTTTCTTCCAAACTTTGGTGGAAACTGAACCAAACCAAAAATTCATCAACTCAAAACCTATGTTGCATGGAAACGGGAGCGGGTACGCGGAAACGGAATCGTTTAGAAGCGCAGAAGCGATTTTTAGAAAATTTTACGGAAGCGGTACACGATGGAAGCGTATAGTATATATAAAGAATATATATATATATATATATATATATATATATATATATATATATATATATATATATAACTAAATATTAAACATTATATCATATTACAAGTTATATTAACCCTATAAATCTAATAAATAAATTTTAAAAACTAAATTTAAAAATTAAACCAATTTTTACAACAAACAAAATCAAATAATTCAAGAAAAAAATTATAACACTATATTCATTCTTTTTTTAAATAACATCAAACAAAATCGTTTCAAATTATGTATATTATAGGTAAAAATATTATCAAACTCAAGTCTCTCGAAATTAATCTAAATTAATTAATCATTTATAATATCTCTCACATATTAGATTCATGTCATTGCTATTTTATAAACATGATTTTGTTAAAAATAAAATACAAAGATTAGTATGCAAAATTTTTAGTTTGAGTTTGTTTGATTAAAAATAATAATTTCATGTTTTATTTATAAAATTGAATTTATAAAATGGAAGCGCAAGCTTCCAAACCGGAATCTTCCAAAGTGGAATTTTTGGAAACGCGATGGAAACGAGATTCCGAAAGCTTCCAAGAGCTTCCGATTCCGACTAAGATTCTGAAGCGGGAAGCGGACCTCCGACAAAGATTCCGTGCTTCCTAGCTCAAAACAAAACAAAGTATCCAAATAAATAGAAAAAGTTATACAATGAATATGGTATTTTTTTTTTTTGTCACTGAGTATTATTGATATATAAAACATTACAAAAGACAGTCTCATCATTGCTTACAACGAAGCCCAAACAGAAACAAAAGGCCCAATAAGAAACCAGCTCTATGACGCATCAAACGATATGGATGAGCAGAGGATACGTGTTGCTTTCTCAACCTCCGCCGCATGAGATTCCAAACCCGGTGAATCGGAAAACGTCGCCGGAATAAGACCCGAACAACTAATCTTCTTTTTTCCTCACCGATTATGGCAACAAACGGGAAACAAGACATAGCCCAATCTACTAATCTCAGCCAATTGCTAAATACACAAAGTAATTAGCGAAATCGGGAAAAAGAAATTAGAAAATGAGTAGTCTACCCATGCCTTATTCAATTGAATCTCTGAATTTTGCAAAGCAGCAAAAGGCAACTAAAATTTGCACAGGAAAAGAGCTATTAATCAAGCCTTCAACGCATAAAACCAGAAACTGTCTCAAAACCGGTGGATCCAAGCATCTATACGGAAGAGAAAACCACACACCATCACTGGAAAACACACCGGAGCCAAAAGCAAAACCTCAACGGCAAAGCAGATCAAGGCAGAGGAGATTAGATCTGGCGAAGAGAAAACTCTCCCGATCTATCAATCACACAACCCCAAAAATCTTCAACATCGAGTCTTTGAAACAACAAAAGAACATGGCAATGGAAGGCCATGTTGACGACCCAACCACGGCAACGAAAAGCCGTGCTGACGGCTAGAACACGGCAACGGGAAAGCCGTGTTGGCGGCAAGCACACGACAACGGAAAAGCCGTGTTGACGGCGATATCGGACCTCGTCCAGCCACAAAAACCGACAAAATATGTCGGACGGCGATCAAAGATAAGAACTTCTCTCTCTGAAAGATATTTTAGAGAGAAGAAAGAGAAGTCTCAATGAATATGGTATATAAATACATTAAAATATACCAAATGGAATATGAAATTAATCAAAATATAATCTTATATATACTAAACCAAACCGGAGATCAAGTCTTCAAACCAAACCAAAATTCTAGTTTGGTTCAGTTTTCCAAACCCCAAGAAGAAAAAAAAAACTCTGTAATCATCAACAAATAACATTTACATATAGTTTTCCTATAGAGTACATATACAAATCCGAAAGCTATTAGATAAACAAGAGATGAGTGGGTAGTAGTCATACAACAAACCATAGCCATCGGTAATGGGATGGTTTCTAAATTAGCTATTATTCTCCATGGCCGTTATGGTTGCTGTTCTCTTGATTTCTTCTGTTGCTTCTCTCTCTTCTGAAAGCATGAAACAGATCCAATCCGAGGCCGACATTGAGGATGTTCATTCCCGCCATACCAGACAGAGCGAGCGGTAACTCCACGCCTTTCCCAAACTTGTGTGCGTCTTTGATCAGCTTGATAGTGATGAGAATGTGAGGAATGCACCTTGCAAACACAAAGGCTGTCCAGTTTAGTACCCACTCTAGTTTCACCAATGCTGTGTTGCTGTCTCGGATTCCCGCCATTCTCCTTAGCTTCCTCACGTGTAGAAAGATCGAATGCATCTGTTTACACATCGGAATAACAAAGGTGAATAAGTATATGTTGTGGAGTTGAAATTGAAGTATATATTATAACTAGATTGTTTATATATAAAACTACAGCTAAATTAATGTTAGCATAGATTCGGAAAAGAAGAGAGAAAAGCCAGGAAAACACAAGTGGAACATACCTCACAAATGAGAGTAAGAATCAGGTAGTTGATGGTTACATTTCGGTATAGAGCCAATGTGAAACAAACAAGGAGGACTAGATGGTGAACCAGAATGGAAGGTATTAACCCGCTGTATAATCGGTACTGAAGCATATCCCACTGGTCATATGCAAAGTAGCCGCATGAGAAACACAAAGCTGGATATGCCCATTTCCAAGTACCACCAACCAACTCAGAATGATCGAACATCTCGTCTAAACCTTTGGCTAAGCATTGATTGAGCAGAATGAAAACCACTGCAGTAACACAAGAGCAGTGTTGAAGATTCAAAATCATAATCAGTATGGCTTGGTGAAGAAAGAACTGCATCATACACAAGATATGGCAAAACAGATGGTCTTCTAAACAATTTAAATAAATACACGTAAACCAGGTCTCAAAGAAGAATAACTACTGAGACTAAACGAGCAACATGAATGGTAAATCCTTGAAATTGGCAACAACAAGATTACGGCTTATTCAATACCTAATCACACGGGAGATTCAAGTGATTACAAGAAATAGCATAGAGACTGCAACCATACCACTAATCAAGCAATCCAAACAAAAATTCAACCAAAAATAAGAGCTACACTGAGCAATAAACAATGTGTTCAAAGAAAAATTGAGAATGAAATTGACCAATGTCCCCATCAACAGAGACATAGAGAGAAGAGAGGGACCTGATGCGGAGGTGATGATTGAGTGCAATAGCGAGACAGAGGTATTAACAAAGAGAGGGTCACGAGAAATCCAAGAACGAACCACCCAATTCATCAATTGAAAGAAACATCCACCGCAAATCACCCATAGAAGCTCCGTCCGGAGATTGAAAGCAATCTCAAACACGACGGAGACCAGCCATAGAAGCAGCGTCGCCAGGAAAAACTCCCCAGCCCCATTCTTCTTCACTACCGTGTTCCCAATCCCGTTCCTCGCCATCGAAACCCCTCCTCTTTCTCTCGGAGATTGCTTGATAATCCGGCAAAGATAACCCTAAATTGGATTGTTCTTAGCTCAAGCTCCGATATCCATTTCCAATTTTGGCGGAAGAGACGATACAAATGCCTTCACGTTTTTACGCTTAAAAGAGCCTCTTTGGGACGCAACGGACACGTGTCGGTCGATACTTGACTCTCCTGATGCTGAGTCATCTAATTAAAACAAAAAAAACGTACGATTTCAACATCGACAAAAATATCATATTTTGTGCCGACATTCGATGTCGACGCATTTGAGACCTAGTGACGGCCCATTTGAAGCTCGGTCCAATAAACCAGAGGCAAACCCACTCAAAACTATACATTTTAGAGTCTAATGATTAGACAGTGATGATACAACAAAATCCAGAGCTGTTGTTAGTACACACACACACAAGGGAACAACAAGACTATAAACAAAACACCATCAAGCTCAAATATTTAATGCATGTGTGTAAAGTATATTAGACCGGTTTCCACACAGACAAAACCTCTTGAAACATCTCCAGCATCAGTTCTCGATCAGCTTGCCTGAAGAAATTGCTGATTTCTTCTCTGACATCATATATCTTTCCGAAATCAAACAAATACATCAAACACCCTTTCTTCAGTTTCTCCAGCTGATACAGCCAAGCCTCTTGTAGTCTCTCGAGCACATTACTCGAGTTTATATCTTCCATTAGGCTTTCTTCGCACGCTGCTTTCAAATCCGTTATGTCATATTTGTTTGCAGCACCGAGGAGGGCGAGCCTGTGTTTCCAGAACTCTTCTTGGGTTATGTTTCCGTAGAGGTAACTTAGTAGAGCCATGCAAGATTCTCTTGACATGTCGTCGATGTGGATTGTGGATGATTCTTTTTCCTTGAGGTCGTGGTGGAACATGCTTTTGAAAACGGTAGAGCTAGCCGAGAGGATAGCTTTGTGAGCAGAGAGTGCTCCATCGGCTGTGTGGATGATTACATCGGTTAGGATGCTTTCCTCTAGCATCCGGGATAAGCATTTGAGAGTGGTTTGTGTGGAGATTGATTGCATTGTTGAATCGGTTGGCCAAACAGGAGAAGCTTCACCACCCTGGATTTGATAAGATTTGATCAATCATCGGTAATGAATGCTAGAAAGAATCATAATGCACTCACTCAAGAAAAGCTCAAAACTTACATTCAAAGGGCAGATTTTGAGATCCAGAAATTCGACATCAATGGTGAATCGACCATGGAAGCTGGAGTCCACATGCCACACACAATCATCAGTTGTACGCAGCAGTTTTTCATACACTGCACCACAATACAGAGTATACACAGAGCTAATTCAGTTCTAACCAGTCCCATAAGAACTTATAATAATCTGCAATCATTTAACTTTTAATACTGCAACTAAATTTAACATCTTTCCATCGATATGCATCAACTTCTCGAGATTTCACTGTATTGACAAGCTGATATTCATGAAAAACAATGAAGAAAATCCATTATAATCAAAGGATTCCTGATATTTGAATATAGTTTCTGAAATCTCTAATTCAAATTCCACAGTATAATTCAAATTCCAAATTTTTGCAAACTCAATTCTAAAGAAGACCACACATATATTATATACCTGGAGAGATGTAGAATCTACGATTAGGACCAACGTTGGAGACACGAAGAACAAATTTGGCAACAGGAGGTTGCTCTTTAGATACTCGAGAAAGTTCTGGGAAAAGCCTCACTGATAGATAACGATTCCTCTCTATAGACAGATGCCTTCCATATCCCAAAACAAACAAAATCAAAATTCCGAAGAAAACTTCCCAGAAATAATAAAGTGAAAAAAGCTTACCAATTCCAAATTCCGACTTTAAAAGGATCGGACTTTTTGAAAGAACAAGGTCCAAAATTTTCAATCCTCCATTGAGCTAACCTCGAGATTGTCTCCACCTTCGTGTCCCCCATCCACTCTCTCTTTCTCTCTCAAGTTTTGACTTCCTTCCTCTCTGAACTCTTTACTTCACGCCAAATAAACACGACGAAGCAAGCAAAACACTCTGCCGCCTCCATCGCCTTCCACGTGTACGAAGATTATACGTTCTAATTCAGTAAACCGGTTTTCCCCGGTTTAGCAACAAGATAAGATTAATAATCTCGATTTTAAATGAGAGAGAGAAAAAAATGGCGACGAGGCCGGCGATGGAGAAACCGAAGATCGTGTGGAACGAAGGAAGACATAGATTCGAGACTGAGGATCACGAAGCCTTCATAGAGTACAAGATGAAGAACGATGGTAAAGTCATGGATCTGGTTCGAACCTTCGTACCGCCGTCAAAAGCAGGACTTGGTTTAGCTTCGCATCTCTGCGTCGCCGCCTTCGAACACGCCTCCGAACACTCTTTCTCCATCATCCCCACTTGCTCCTACGTCTCCGTACATTACTTCTTCCTCTCTTTTTTTTTTTCAATCTCCGATGAAATCAGATTCTTGTGTCTTAAGAAATATCTCGTTTTCGCAGGAAACGTTTATTCCTCGATACCCATCGTGGGAGCATCTGGTTCACTCAGAGGATGATTCCAAGAACCTCAAGTCTAGTATCTGATCATGTCCTGCTTCAAAGCCTTTGGTGTATAATAAAACTTTAAAAACATTATCTTACATTATTAATGCTTGTTTCATGTCTCTGTAAACAAACAAAATGTAATGTTTTTTCACAATTCGACAGCAACAAACAAACACTAATGTTTGTCTTGATAATAAATAAAACGTGAAACCATTATTCTATGATACATTTTTGTACAGATACGTCGCTGTGTCTCTTTTAGCCAGTGACATAGTAATCCATTTTCTCCGGTGGTAAGTTCAGAACCGATTGTTCAACCTAATAAACATCAAGGAACAATATTCAAATCAAAATCAATGTAACTGAGGTTATAGATGGGAAGGGTATTTAACAATTTATAGTTTACTTGCCTCTTCGAAAGGAACGAAGACGAATGGAGTCATACCCCTCTTGTGTGAGACGGCAGGTATATCCGGGTTGTGAGTTTCATCGTCTTCCCAACCTTCAACTACCCCAAGAATGTCTTCTTCTGTGCTGCTTATTTCCTCATCGTTCACACCACTTGTCACTAGTGACAGCAAATCCATCCGGTTATTCGCTCCAATCGCTGTTCCTCTTAACCTAACCATACCCGAAAAGGCGAAAACAAACCCACAGCACTGTAGATCAGAATGGCTATAAGCTACTAAAAGTTCAACCTCATCTTTTCGCTTATCATAGAAATATTCATCACATTCACCGGATCAGATAAGTCTTTAGATGGATGTACTTGACACGGTACTTAAAAAGATAAGCAACAGGCCTTCTTCCCAAAAGGTTTAAAACGAGTCTAGATTCCCCATAAGTACCGCATCGTTACCGTCTTACCAATGCCAGACCAAGGTTCTAAATGCTACTATTGAAAAGAAAATTTCTGTCCTGATATTTTGAAGGATTGAAGTACCTTAAACGGATCCTTAGGACAGTAGGGCGCGTCCCTGGGTATAGAACAGCGGCTTCGATCTGCGAAAAGAACATGTTTTTCAGGATAATGATGTAATGTTGATGATATCCAGCCAATAGGCAGTTAGAGGCAGCTAACCTTATCATCCGACATTGACAATGTATAGGTGCCTCTGTAAAGACTGTCAGATTTAGAAGCCTTAAAGTTCATGTACTTGGCAACATCCTTCAATTTCTGCGAAGAGTTCTGAAGGATAACAACAAATATCGATGGATATGATCAGAGACTCAGAGTAGATCACGCCAGCAGCTTAACGTTTAAACCTACTTAGATTGAAATTGTGCAAACCTTGTAAAGAAATCTGCCAGAAGGGTAGAACCTTATGTAGCGGAAGTAACAAACCTGCAACAAAATTTCCAAAAGAAGAGGCAAATTATTATATCTGTCTGTATGGGACAGATGAAGAAGCGAAGATATCAAGTTCAAGAAAAAGACAAAGCCTTTACAATGTGAACTGGATTTGTAATCTTCCACTCAGTAATTCCAGCTCGAATGTATGTATTCCTACTCACATAAAGACCTGAAAAGAAGATACAAAGTTTAACAAAAATCAAGGGTTATTCGAAGGAAGGACTACAATATATATATATATATATATATATATATATATATATATATATATATATATATATATATATATATATAAAGAATTGATAAGTATGGAATAAGGTTAGTTTGATGAAGAACGATATATAACAAGACATAATGTTTAGTCAGTGTCATGCAGCAAGGGGATGAAGAAAGAAAGATTACCATCAGTACGAACTCTGGATCTAAGAAGCCACATTTTCCTCCATGATCCATCATATTTAGACTGCAAGATCTTATAGTTTTCGATAACCCCAGCAGTCTGCCAAGCTTTCAAACACGCATTACGCCAGAACACAGGGTTCCGAACCGTGTACCTCCACTTTCTGCATACACAAGCTGCTCTACCTAAGTCATAAGGCATCATCCGAGCAAACACCTACAAGTAATATATCCACGAATCAACAAATAATAAAAACAAATTTCAGTACAATAGCAAAAACTAGCATAAAGGAAGCTCCAACCTCAAAAAGCAGCTCATCAGGCAAGCAACGATGAATCAAAGCTGGATCATAATGGGGTTTACGGCTTGTACTTCCGAATGGTGGCACAGGCCTCACATGGACTCCATAAAGATCTGAAAAATGTAACTCATTACAAACTATAAACCCACTTGTGAATTGTGATATGATAAAAAAAACAGACTAGAGAATGGGTGTTAAATGATTAGATGTACCAAGCCAAGGCCTTTTTGTAATAAAGTATTGTACAGTCCTGAGCCGCAACGCAGATTCAAGCTCAGACGGTATAGTGAGAGCATCTGTGACAAGGAAAATAAAGACAAACAAGCACCAATGAAAATTCAAGTTTAACAAAAGAATCACAATTTCACCTTCAATCTCACTGATAGCATAAATACAACTTCAAACTTAAAAACCTTTCATTTTTCAATTTGTAATTGAACACATTCACGAGACTACCAGATCAATTTCCAAATTAGTTTCCCCTCCAATCATGCGAGTTTTCGACGAAGGATGTTCAAACCCAAAAGGTTTTGATCCAAATCAGCATTAGTGATTTGAAAGAAAATATAGAGAAAATTTAATCAAATCGAAAAAAAAACAGAAGTTTCTCGATGTCATGTATCGATCCGATTCAACTCGTTAAATTCAATCGGAGACTGAAATACCTGAAGTCATGGAAGCTGATAGACGATTTGAAAATCCAGCGATTTCGTAGCCGCCCGTGCGAGCTCCCTGTTACCGGGAAAAGAAAGAAGAAGAAGAAGATAGAAACAGAGACTCTTTCTCTGTCTTTTTTTTATTTTATTTAATTTGTTTTCTCGAGGTTCACAAACAACGAAACCGACGACATTCGGTTTCAATATCTTTAACCAATTTGGTTTAGTTTAACTGTTTCGTCATTAGATCATTTACACTCAATTGATGTGTCAATAAGATCTTTATTCAACATGTTTAACACGATTAAATGTGTTTCTGACGATATTTTTTTAGGTGTTTATTGCAAAGTGTCGAATTATGTTACAATTGTTCAATTTCTTCCGACCACAAAAAAAAATACAGCATGTTGACAACTCAATAAAATTGTAAATGTTGCTAAATTCAGTAATAAAAGTAACGTGTTAGCCCTCGACGATCTGCTTGAGTTTCCTTTCAAGCTCTCTTACTTCCCTCAACAACCAAATTAGCCTTTTTTTTTTGTTTTCCTCAATTAGTGGAATCAATCAAGACTGGTATTATCTAGGTATATGCTTCAGAATTACTAGATTTTAGTGTTAGAAACTCGATCCCAAAACTATATTAAAGGAGAACTATATTAAAGGAGAACTTGAATTCAAAAAAAAAAAAAAAAAAAGAAGAAGGTAAAATCAACCAAAAAAAAAGAGAGGCAATTATTGTTCTGCAGAGTGCACATGTAAAAAACCTAATGAATAGATAAAGAGATTCTCTCTGTCTGTCTGTCGTCTCTCTCACTCTCTCTGTCTACTCAAAGCTCTTGTCTTTCTTCTGTGTATTTTTCTCAAAACTACCAAACTAAGCTAGCAGCTAAGAGACACAAAACATTTCTCTTTTTCAGAGCTCGTCCTTGACTTCCTCAGTTGTCTCTTCCTCCTTCTTAGCCTCTCCAACTGTGTCCTTGTTCTTGTCGATGAAGCTTATGAAATCTTCCTTTGTCCTGTCTCCTTCGTAAACCACAATGTTTCCGCTTGCTGCTTTGAAGTAAATGGTCGGGAAGCCCTTCACATCAAAGGTATCACGTGGGAAGTCGTTTGCGGTTGCATCCTGGACAGGTCAAAAGAGTAAGAATCCGGTGATCACGAATGCATACTCTCAAATGTGAATAAAGATAAAGGACTTACTAGCTTAGCTATGACTACACTTGGGTCGCTTTGGTACGACACAGCAACTTCGTCCAAGATTGGAGCAAGCTTTTGGCAGTGTCCACACCATGGAGCATAGAATTCAAGCAAGACTGCAAAAAAGTAAATAGGATGGATTAAACTGATTGATAAGATTTTGCTACCAGCAAACAGGTATTTGTGATTTAACAATGTAATGTAACTCACCGTTCTTTCCAGAGTTTAAGACAATGTCGTCAAGGCTGTCAGAAACAACAACCTTCACTGGCTCGTTGTTTTCGGCTGGGATAGGTTGAGATTTTTTGTGGGGAGCAATTTTTCCATCCTTGAAGTCCTTAACCCATGATTCAATCTGGTCAACCTCCACATTTGTTTTCAGGTATTTCTTGTCGTCAGCAGTCTGGATGATGATGAGAGGAACTTGGCTCTCTTCGAGTCCAAAGTACTGTTAATGGTTCAGAAAGGAGAGAAATATGTTCAGCAATTTGTAACCAATGCTAACCTGGAGATAAGCAATTGGAGATAGATGAGGAAGACTAACCTGGAATGCACCTTGGCTGTTCTCAGCATCACCTAGAAGGAAGCTAAGACCCTGTCCCTTGTTGGATGTAGCAACTTCACGGTACTTTGATTTAAGAGACTCGGCTCCTTCTCCAGTGAAGTTCATGAACAACATGGCCTGAAAATCAAAATATTACCCATCATTAAAAAACCCAAAAACGAAGAAAGTAATAAAGACTAAGGATTCTGGAAGCTTTTACTGAGAATATTCAAAAAGAAAACTATAGACACTACTGTCAGACTCAGCTAATATGGCACACACTCGCAGCTCCTTCCATAGCGAGAACATAATTTAGCAAGATATATCAACGTTTAGAAATAAACTCATTTCAGAATTTCTACAAAATAAACACCTTTCTTCCATAGCCAAAACATAATGTAGTCAAGCTTATGAAGAAATATCAACTTTTACAAATCAACTCATTTCAGAATTTCTATAAATTAAACATACTTCTTCAGTAAAATTAAATGGCCTAATATGAATCCATCATTGTAGTATTATCATGAACTAGTTAAGGCTTAATGGAAGTAAGATATTTGGTAACTCTACGATAAGTTACCTTGATATTAGTGCTTTCAAAGAACTTGATAACATATGGGTGGTTGTTTGGATCTTTGTCAAAGACGGTGATAAGTGGAATGCTGGATTCTTTGACAAATTTCTCCAGAGCTTCACCATCGAAATCCTGAATGCAACGAAGTAAATCAAACAAACATTCTGCAACAATAGACTATATAACAGGACCAATCATCCATGTAATATACAAACCTTGGTATCAACAAATTGTTCATCAAAGGGTTTGAATAGCCTGACTACAGGTCCTGTTACAGATGATTCTCCACGGGGAAGAAGTTTGGCATCCGAGGTGTGTGCAAAATCTAACTCAGAGCGCAATTTCTCAGCAATGGCCATGAAAGAATCAAACTCGGAGCCAGATAGTTTAGGGAAAATCCCAACCTAAAACAACAGAAATAGACATTATTTCACAACCATACATAATTAAAATCATAAAACAGAGAAAAAAGCTAAAGAATATGTTTGATACTTACCACAACAACCTTCTTGTCACCAACAACATCAGCAGCATCATCAGCTGACTTAATTTCAGCTGAAGCAGGTCCATTTTGTTTCTTCAAGTAAGTAACAATGCCGTCAGCTTCACGAGGTCCATTGTATTCTTGAACAGCTTTACCTCCGTTTCTGAAAATCTTGATTGTTGGGAAACCTTGAACCTCGTATTGGGTTGCAAATTCTCTGTTTGTTTCCTCACTTGCATCAATCTTAGCAAGAACAACCGGAGGGACGTTACTGCTCAACTCTGACGCAGCCTTCTCATACTGTAAACAAAAACATCATCACCCATGAATTAGACCAGTAAAAAAAGTCTCCACATGCAAATTTTATATGAAGTGATTGAAAAATTACCTCAGGAGCAAGCTGCTTGCAGTGTCCACACCTGAAGAAGAACGAAACACGAATTACCAAATGATGAAGATTCAGATCAAATACTTTAACAAATCAATTACATAGTAAAATTAAAAATCAGACTACTTATAAATTCGCAATTCAAATCAGACAACACAATTTACATAGATCGGAATAGATCGAACCGTTCAAATTACAAAATTTCTGACTAGTACAACAGATCAGCTACACCAATTCAAATCACGCAAGCGAGAATATGACAAATCATTCGCATGCAGATCCAAAAACACAAATGATAAGATTCAGATCCACTAGATTCACGAATCACGACACAAAACCCATGCCAACAGAAATCTCACAAGTAAACAGATTGAAAAATCACAAAATCTCAATACCATGGGGCGTAGAACTCGACGACGATGAAATCGTGTTTGTTGATGGTATCGGTGAAGTTAGTGTGATCCAAGGTCAACACGAACTCCTTCGTCTCCGTCTCTTCGCTTCTGATAGAAGAAGCGAACAACGACAACACAAGGATCGAAAACAACGCGAATCGCCTCATCGCCATTATCGCTCTCTTTCTCTCTAACAATGTTTAGCTTGAATTCTGTAAGCTCTCCGGGGTTAGCTCTGAGAGATATTTATCACTGCAAAACACGAAAACTGAATGCTCCTAAATGGTCACGTATCCACGTGGCAATCCCTAATTGGATATTACGTCGTCATAGTTTATAGGGATTTGGCAAGAATTTTAATGTTATACAGTGTCATTGACAATCTTGACCTTGGCGGTTATAATTTATTTTGTTGTTTTCCCCATTTTACCAAGCTGTAAAAGGTAATTAAAGAAGAGAGAAAATTGTCTAAACCGAAGACACACTAGTCACAGTGTTCCGTACCAATGTACAAGCGTCACGATATTGACGAATGACGTGGCTTCTTCTCTTTCGTTGATCTTGCTGTGAGCTTGAAATGAGATCTCAGGTCCGTGACTTCGTGCAAGTAAATGGTCCGTGACTCAAATTACAATTTACACATAGATCTGACCAATTATGTTTGGTTTCTTGCCATTAGTAATCATAGATCTTCTTTATAATAATTTTAGTATATGATTCAGAAGTAAATTTAATTTAAAGATCTGAGAACCTTAAATAGAAAAAGACTAAAAATCTACAAACATGTAGCCAACCAATCAATGAATATTATAAATGCTAAAATATGTACAGCAATTTTTTCCTAAATCCGAATCTAATTTCATTACCAAAACTTTTTTAATTCGTGCAAAATCAATCTTCAGACTGAGGCTGTTGTTGTTGAAACCTAACATCTTCATGAGCTTTTACAACTTGTGAAGTGAAATTCCCCAAGGCTTCAAATATTGGTACTAAACCAGCTTGTAAGCTGCTCGAAGCTGCATTGTTCACAAGTTTAATTGTTTCCTTGTGTCTTGCTCTTTCTTCTTCTAGCTTCTTCCTCATTGAGTCCAAATCCACTTTCAAATCATCCAACGCCGAGATCCCGCTCTCAGACAAGACAACGCTTCTCTCTGATGCACCGTCTTGTAGCTGATCGTTTCTCATTCTCACTCTTGCTCTCTCCATCCGAAGATCATTCAACCGTTTCTCAAAATCATGTGAGACATACTCTGCTTTCACTCTCTGCCTTTGCTCCTCATCTTGTCTCTCCCATAAATCATGTAGACTCGAAGCAAAGCCTTGCATAGCGTTTGAAACGTTCTCTCCAGAGATTCTCGCCATTGCTTCTTGCCAATCTTTGCATATAACGAAAACCTGTGGAGCTCCAACACGACTAGGAGAGAATGGGGCAATTCCATCCTCTGTTGATTCAGGTTCATAGTGAAGACATCTTGAGAGCCATCCATTTAGAGACTCCACATATAATTTCTGAGTATTGACCCAATGGTTGAAGCTAATGCACCATTCTCGTAGCTCCATCTCCAGATCAAGAATAGCTTTCAGACCAGAGTCTCTTTGTAAGCCGGTGTTTGCCCTGAGAGATCGAACCTTGCTCTCCATAATTGCCTGGAACTGCTTCTGGTGGCACTTGAGCATTGATCTCCACATTCTTATCAACCTTCAAATCCCAAGAATCGGATTACACAAACGAAAATATATAAACGTAGGAATATTAAAGAAATGAGATCAATTTATACCCATGAATCAATTGAGTGAGTTGCGGCTGTAATTCTTCGTCTCTCAGTTTATGTATCCTGCTGGAAATGGAATCAACAGATCTTATACAGACGTCGAGTTTGGTTAGCAGCTTTCTAATGGCTGCTCGAGTAGTATCAATCTTGCTAGATTCCGCACCAAGACTATCCAGTTTTTTCAGTGTTCTGCACTTTTCTTCATAGACAACACGAAGCTTCTCTTCATCCTGCCATAAACAAACAACATCATCTGTCAAAAGATGCTTCGATCCAAAGAGATGTTAATCCATTTGAAATCAAGAAACACATATATACCTTGACTTCTTTATACAGTTTCTTTTCCCAGGCATACAGTTGCTCCAAGGTTGAAGAGAGGTTTCCAGATAAGCCTTCTCTGATATCCTGACCATTGTATGATTTTGCAATTTTCAATATCCTAGATGTTAACCGTATTGACGGTTGAGGCTGAGAGCGCGATGACACTGTGGATGGCGCTACCAGATACATGATCCGGGAGAAGATAACTAGAGAGAAAAAAAGAAGTAAATATCATTAATAAAAGAAACAAGGTAAAACTCAAGTGATGCAAATCAAATCTATGGCTCAACAGAAAAGAAAGAGCCCATAACAGTTCAATCAAAAGTAACAAGAGCTCAACATTATTTCCCATTACATCAAAATTTAGTTCCTAACTTAAACAGATCCAAGGTATAATGAAGACAGTTCACGAAAGTCAAGTAAATTACTAGAGTATACATATGTTTCTCCTGCATGAAGAGATCCAAATTACTGCTAATTTGAAGCTATAACTCTAATCTATTATCATCTCCACAAGTAACAAGATTGATCTCGAAAAAAAGGTTTCTAATGTATAAGTTAATTCAAAATGCAGGAAATCCATTTATGCAATTAAGGAAGGAATCGCAGACACAAACAGAACATATAAGAACATTACCTTTGAGCCCCGAGCTTTTCTGTTGATAAGGCAACTTGCTAACCTCAAGCAACACAGCCACTTCCTTCCCATGTGAAGAAGCAACCTCAAACTCACTCTTGATCTCTTTCACAACTTCTCTGAGATCTCTAGTGGCATGAACCGACAATGCAGACAGACTACTTATTTTGGAAGATTCAACATCAAAAGAAGTAGTTGCATTTTCATCCAACTCAAAGCTCACTCCTTTCTTCCTCACATATTCTTCTTCTACTTCTCCAACACTCTTAGTGGCAACTGTCTCATGCCCACTTAAATCATTACTGCTACTCTTTCCTTCTCCGGCATTAACATGATGAAACTCAGATTCTTCTTCGCTACTCGAAAACGAAGACACAGTCTTTGAACCAAAAGAGCTCTCCGTAGCCCTTTCTACCATAGGCACTGCCCTTGATGTTCCTTCACCTGAATCTCCTCGTTTCTTGATCTTTCTCTCGTGAATCTCATTCTCCGGTCTGTGTTGTTCTTTCACCTTCTCAATGCCTTTTCTCTTCATATGTTTAAATGTTTGCCCAATGATAACTTCTTGCTCTGTTTCTTCTTCCAACTCAGGAATCCCTTCCCTCTCTCTCACTTCCCTCGAATCAGGACTGCTTGAATTTGACTTACCTCCACCCATGGCCGGAGAAAACCCAACTCCGGCACCGGAACTTTCACCACCACCAACTCTAATATAATCATAAGTATCAAACACATTCAAAAAATCCCAACTTGAAATCCTAGGCGGAGACGGAGGCGCTGGAGTCGGTCTCACCGGAGACGGTGGCTCTCTACGTTGCTCCGGGTAACCAAAATACCCAGTATTAGCATTTCCGGGAAAATAACTAGAGTACCCAAATCCATTCTCCGGTAACCATTGCCCATTCTCCACTCTATGATTCTCCGGCTGAAACACTACCGGTCGTGACGGTGGCGCAGACTTCTTCATAAAATACATTCCCGGATTCGGGTTCGGGTACGGGTTTAAATCCGGATTCTCTCCCATAAATCCCCATCCTTCAACCGGATACTGATACCCAGCAGAGTAACCCGGTTGATATTGATATCCCGGCGTAAAACCAGGCGGATAACCGGGCTGGTAATTTTCCGGTAAGCGTGTTTCTTTCTCCTTCACTTTAGGGCTAGTTTCAATGTGGATATGACCTAATGAACCATCAGATCCAGATTCCGATCCAGAATCTAACTCGGATCCAGATGATAAATGCAAATGCTGATCTTCTCCTTCTTCTTCTCCGTCGTCTTCAATAACCGAATGCGAAACCGAAGTAGAAGAAGACGAGATCTTGTGTTTATGAGACTTCCCTTCGTCAGACGGAAGCGTAAGAACCGGAGAATCAGGGGTAGAAGAAGAAGAAGTACCAACGACGACAAGTTCTTCGTCGACGAAACGTTTAATAGATTCACCAACGTCACAGAGAGATTGAAAGTAAGAGAGATGAGCAGCGGCTAAAGCACAACGATGATGAGACGCAGCTTTGATAAGTTCTTTCCTCTCTCTACAGAGAATCACAAGTGGTTGATCATCTACTTTGGATCCTCCGCAACCCATGTGAGAAAAACCCTAACTTTATATCGTCGTTCGTCTCCACAACTCCCAAAATGCTGTATCAAGTCTCATGCTTTGGTTAATGGAAAGACCATTGCTTTCCCCAAATTCGAAATCTGGGTGCTTTTTTTTTCAAATCGGAAAACAGAGTTGATGATTAATTTGTTGTCGTTATGAGAGTGGATGAGAATGAGAGGAAAAAAAACAAAAGAAAAACCGAAGGAGAAGAGAGGTCTCGTGCATGCGAGAGAGTGACAGAGAGAGGAGGAGAGACAGAAGAATCCATTGGGGTTTGCTGATTTTTTTCTTTAAACGTGACCGTAGCAGACAGGAAACAGAGGAGAGAGACAGAAAGCAAAATAGTTAAATTAAATAAAACATTTATGGGGTTTAGTTTTTGTAAATAAACTAAAAAGAAAAAAGGATTCGTCTTGTTGCAATTAATTTCGATTTCGATCTCTACGAAATTTAACGGATAGGGATGTGTGTAAGAAAGCTAGGGATTTGGGCAAAACTTAAATGCAAATTGGAAATTGGGAAGAAGAAACTGTGACAGACGAGGAAAAAAAAAAAAAAAAAAGGCAAATTTGGTTTTTGTTTCTGAGAAATTTTCCGGGAAATAGAGAGACAGAGGAGAAACGACGTCGACGATGAAAGGAGGAGATTGGGATAAGGCCGTGTCTTAATTTTGTTTTGTGGCCTTATTACTTTCCACTTTTTACCCTTTTGCCCTGTACTTTTACTTTTATCTTTTTACACTTTATAACGAATTTCAAGAAGAAAAGAGAAAAAGTTTTAAGCTATAAACTCTAGGTAAACAGTAAAAAGTGTTACTTGTTTGGTAGGTAGAAATGTTATAAATTGACAGGTTTTGTTTCTTTTTAGTATAACAGTAAACGGAATCTGTGTAATGAGGCAAACATTATAAAATTTATGGTTAATTATATATATATATATATATATATATATATTGATTAGTATGTTTTCTTTTTAATTTCTTTATAAAGTCCCATGACTTGAATCTATAAAACATAAAACAGAGTATGGTTCGTGGAATAAAGGCTTTTTCATACCTCAACTATAGAGGTATGTTCGATTCATACATCAACTATATCACCGTGCAAATTCATACTTCAACAAAGCATTAATTGAAATTTACATCCCAAACTTATGAATTTGTGCAAAATCATACATATGCCGCAAACGTGTCAATAAACTATTAAATATTGATGATATGAACGCCACATGTACAATGACTTGGATGCCATGTCATATTGTTAAAAAACAATATTTTTTTAATTTTAATTTATTTGTTAAGTTTTGCATAAATATTTGTACATATACATATAAATAATATCTCTCTCCGATGGATTCTTTGATATAACATACAATCCATATTTTAAATAAATTTGAGTTCTAATGAATTTTTAGATGACTTTAATGGTTTGCAATGAATTTGGAAATTTATTGTAATTTTTTGTTAAATCTCACTTAAAATTATGCGACTTGGATCTTTGTATTTTTAACTAAGTAAATAAATCTGTTAAAGTCATAAAAATTCAATGGTTAAAATTTTTTGTGAATTTTAAAGTACTTTTTATAAATCACTAGTTCAATAAATATAATATATATATATATATATATATTATGAATAAATGTTTATGCAAAACTTAACAAATAAATCGAAATTGAAAGAAAAAAAAAACTGTTTGTTAACAAATAACAATATGACGTGGCATCCACGTGGTTGCATACGTGGCGTCCACGTCATCAAAACATAATAGTTTTTTGCCACTGTGACAATAGATGTATGATTCAGCACGAATTCTTAAGTTTGAATAGTAAATTTCAATTAGTGTTTTGTTGAGGTATGTATTAGCACGGTGCTATACTTAATGTATGAATCGAACATACCTTTGTAGCTGAGGTATGAAAAAGCAATTTTTCCTATGGTTCGTTGATGTTGGAATCGACTTTAGCCGGAGGGAATTGGGTCACTTCATTTTCAAAGGGAAATGTTTATTTGTTCTCTATCAGTTACACAGTTTTTAACTTATATATCATGTGCTTATATTGTTACTGAAAGAAATAATACAGATTTTTAGATTACACTTTACAGATATACATTATGGGGACACTCGGAAATGTAAATAATAAAGAGTTTCAGTATAAAATGTGGTGTGGGAGAGCTTCGATGCTCGAAATACAAATACTAGTAGTAGTAGGGGGGGGGGGGGGGGGGGTAATAAACAATTGCATGCAGGAAACATGAACATGTTACGAAGCTGAGACCTGTATTAAGGCTATAAGAAAAAGCTGAGACATGCCACTAGGAAAGTGTGCCCCTCACGTGCTGCCAAATCCGGTTCGCATGCACCTTCTCGTCCCAAGTTTGGAAATCAAAACTGATTTAATAATTCAAATTCTTCAAAATAGTTTTTGTGAAGCTTACTGAAATTCAAATCTACCTATATCTGCCATCAGAAAAATTTCATATACTGGATCTACATTGTAGTTAAGAATTACCATAATTGTACCCTTGTTATATTGCACGGCTCAAAAATGTTATGGCCCCTATGACACAAATTTCTTTTTTTTGGTCTATTGGGACCTTTGTTTTCTCGAATATTATTATGTTTCAAATTTTGAATTTTTGTACTTTTTATTATTAAAATAAACTTCGAGATCACTCTTTTGGTATGTGATTTTTATTTTGATTTGGTTATGTAATATATATAAACCCACCAACACAGACATGCACATACACTAGTTTCTCTAATTTAAAATACTTAATATAAATACTTTGGTCATAAACTGTAGTTCAATCTTGTCGAGTTTGATATATTTTAGTTGAAATTCTAGGTGTTTTTTCTCTAAAAATTGTTATTTGATTTTACATTATTAATATAGTATTGTTTCAAATTACATTTCACATAAACACGTTTAGTCACATTAATTTTAACTAGCTTAATTGACTCTTAAAAACCGAACCTAGCGAATTGGCCACCGATAAATGTGGCATGCAAAGATCGACATAATAATCAACATCTAAGCAAAAAGAGGGGCGAAGAAAAGCAACAGTAGGTTATCAGAAAAAGGCAAAAAAAGAATGCAACCATAGAGTTAGGTTTAAAAATTATTGCTCTATCTAAATACCATATCTTTGTATTTGCATGTAACCCCCTACTCCTCTCATCATGATCAAGTATGTATACAACCATTACTATATAGTTTTGAACGTAAATATATGTAAGAAAATTCTCTGATCTTTGTTTGATTTAAAAAGTAACATGATTTTTATTGAGTAAAACATGGTGATTAAAAACAATAGCATCTCAAGAGTTTCAAATAGAAACGGTAAAATATGGTGATAACTGATAATTAACGAATGATAACATACATCTTGTGGAAAGAAATGATTAGACGAATTAAACTATCTTTCATTTGTATTTTTTTTGTTTATGTGTTACACCAATAGTTTTATAGTATAAACATATATTTTCTTAACGTCTTGTATCGGATTAGAAATTGTTTACATTGTCATTAAACAAATCATGTAGTATATAGATTTTAATTTCACCTTTAGATATTTAAAATATACTCCCTCCGTTTCATATTAAGTGTCGTTTTAGCCTTTGAATTTTGTTTTAAAATAAGTGTCGTTTTGTGTTTTCAATGCAGATGTGTTTTGTAAAATTTTCAGTTTTGTCCCTACTAATTTAATGTATTGACCAATAAAAAAATAAAAAAATATATAGATGATGGGTAAGACCATCCGCAGTGGTGTAAGTGTGAGGGAGGGCTGTAAGATTTTTTTTATTATTATAATTTAAAGTGAGAGAGAAAAGAGAGAGAAAGAAAGAGAGAGATAGAGTGGCTTACACCCGAGTGTAAACTTACACCCGGGTATGAAGGGAGAGACAACTTTTACATTATTTATGTATTTTAAAATAGATACACCTCACGCAAGGATACACCACTACGGATGCCCTAAAACATAAAATTTAATTGTTTTCTTAATATGTGTGCAAAAACCTTAAACGACACTTATTATGAAACAGAGAGAGTATCTAGTTCGAATTATTGTAAATTGTTGTTTTTATCTCTTTTACCTACATATAGTATTTTTATTGTGTACTTGAAGTAGGAAACTTAAGAGTCATATTATATTATCTTTAATTACCCACCAAAATGCAAAAAAAAATATCATCTATCATTATCATATTTTTGAAAGCTCACATAAGAAAGGGAAAAAACCCGAAAAAACCGCCATCTATTTTTTTTTTGGCCGTTTAATACGCGTGTTATTAAAGTTGGAATAAAAATGCATGGTTTAATTTCAATTGCCTTTTAAAATCGCCGTGTTTTAAAACTTGGTATAATCATACACCCGCGTTAACAGTCGTTAACTCTACTAACGGAATGACTAACCGCGGTTAATACTTAACCCATGGTGTTAACGTGTATATATATACAATCTCTTTTTAAAATTTAACGAATATATCGTCTTAGTCAAGTGGCTAAACGTTTTCCGACTACCCTAGTGGACCTGGGTTCGATGCCTACCTTCTTCTCTTTTTGATAATTATACTTTTGGGTAAAATCCCTCTGTAAACTCTCCCAAATCCACCAGATCCGAGAAGATCCTTCTCCTTAAAACCTTTGGTCGCATGATAAAGCTCCTTGAATCTAAATCGATTCTTCCCAAACTCTGTTTCCCAATCATCAAGCTCTTCCTCGTACTTCTTCTTCCTCCTCACGATATAGAAAGCGAGGAAGATAATAGAGAAGATCAGAGATAGTGAAATCAAAGGCATACCGATTTTGTAGAATTCAGAGATTCGTCTCGGCTCGAATCGAGGAAGCTTCGGGAGTTTCGATAACAAAAGCATCGGAGCTTCTCCGTTTAACCGGAAACTCCATCCGACTACGAAATGCTCCGAGAGAACTGAACCAGTAGCAGATGAGAAACCTACATACATATCTTCCAGAAGAATCGAAGAAAGATCTCTCACATACGAAACTAGAGGTTTTCTAGGTTTATCGGAATCAAACGGAGCCATGGTGACATCGATTCGATGACTCCGATTATCGTAATCGATCCAAACCTGAATCCGTTTGCGACTAAAAATTAAAAACATATGAAAAGAGAAGAAGGTAGGCATCGAACCCAGGTCCACTAGGGTAGTCGGAAAACGTTTAGCCACTTGACTAAGACGATATATTCGTTAAGTTTTAAAAAGAGATTGTATATATATACACGTTAACACCATGGGTTAAGTATTAACCGCGGTTAGTCATTCCGTTAGTAGAGTTAACGACTGTTAACGCGGGTGTATGATTATACCAAGTTTTAAAACACGGCAATTTTAAAAGGCAATTGAAATTAAACCATGCATTTTTATTCCAACTTTAATAACACGCGTATTAAACGGCCAAAAAAAAAATAGATGGCGGTTTTTTCGGGTTTTTTCCCCATAAGAAATAACTAGAGAAACGAAATTTTAAGATAAACTGAAAATACAAAAAAGTCGCCTCTCTCTCTTCTCTCTTCATATTTTTCAGAGAGAAAGTCGATTCATGTCCCTTACTCCGCCGTCCGGGATTTTCCGGCAAGGCCGTCCGATTGGTTTCAATCGGCTTTAGCCCAACAT